CTTGCGGGTCGGCCTGACACGGCACGCTCTCACTCTGGTCGCCACGGTGTCGAGATCGTTCTTCATGATGAAGTTGGCCCAGTATTGGGAGAGCGTGGCCTTGGCGTCGGGAGGGCACGCGTCGTCGAGGCCAATGGCTCTGAGCATCGCCACCCACGCCTGCACGAACGGCGGGCCCATCGGCTGAGTGTTGCCGTCGGCCTTGCGCCTCTTGGCCTCCTCGTGGTAGGCCTTGCCAGCCGCGACTGCGGAGACGATGGCGGCGGCCTCGGACGGGGCGAGAAAGGTGACGAACACCACACCGCAGATCTCGCGAAGCTCGGCGGCGTTGCTGAGAGCCAGCCGGGCGAGGGTCGCGACGAGAGTCTTCAGCGTGCCACCGTTGCCCTTCCCCGCCTCGAGCGCCTGCTCGCGCAGACGGGCTGCCTTCTTGCGGGGCTCGCCGGCTTCGTCCGCGGCCGACGCGGGGGCCGGGGCCGCGAGCATCCAGGCGGGCGTCGACTCCATCACACTCTTCAGGAGGAGGCGGGAGTGGACACGGTACAAGGTGAGTGCGAAGATGAACCTGGAGATCGGCCAAGATGCTTGCGAAAAAGATGCAGAGTGGGCAAGTCAAATTCGACGGGAGTCGGGCCTCGGCTAAATTTCGGGTCCGATCTCGTAAGCAATGGCCCCGAACCAGACTCCGAACTAGATGTCGTCGGGCACTCTCGGGATGAGCGAAAGTAGCCAAGCAAACGCAACATTGGTTGGTGACCGTGACGACGTGAGCCAAGGACCGAAACCCATGATGATTAATGATCTGGTTATGCAGTGCGCGTCGGTCAGGGGGAGACTTGCCACCTCGAGTGCCGTCCGCATTCATGATTATACAAGTAAATTCTGATGCACTCACAGCCTCACTCTCAAGCACAGCCGCAGGAAGTAGAGACTGCCCAGGAGGGGGAACACGCACCGAAAGAGCCGACGCCCGAAGCTGACGAACATGGATCCGAACGAACTCGTCAGCATAGTCAAGATCAGCAACGAGAAGAAAGTAACGATGATCGAGACTCTGAAGCAACGCGGCCCCATCTTCTAATTCAGAGAGACTCTCAATGTCAGCGACAAATCGAGACGTCCACGAAGACAGAGTGGGGCCCAGACGGCCACTCGGCAGAACAACAGGCGGACGACCGAGCACATTGCCGCCGAAGCACCCGAACATGCTGGCCAGGACCTGTCGGTGAGCTCCTCGAACTCTAGCAAAGCTTTGCCACGACCGAAATCGACGGATCCGTAATTCAAGCTCGAGCGGGACGAACTTCCACCACCTAAGAACGGCCTCAGAGGTAAGAGAGGTAGGGTGGGAATGCTCGTGCCATGTCGTAGCCTGGCCTAGCATAGCTTTGCGGCAATATGTAGTGCCAGTAGTCTGTAGTCGATGCAGTTGCTGGGGACCAAACCAGATAAAGCCACATTATAGATCTTAGATATCAGTAGACAGCGACGCAGCCTATGTGGAACACCCTGTAGCGTCCAGAAACCACCCATGGAATACCAAGACTGCCGAATAGCACTCACACGAGAGCGAAGCTCGACCTCGAAGTTAGTCGGGTTGCTGCACATCCAGGCGCCCAGACTTTTGGCCTCCAAGACGGGCTTCCCAGGGAACGTGATGCGACCAGCCTTGACGGATCTCAAGACACTCCCAGAGCCCTTACCCCAGGCATGTAACAGCGTGTCTTGCTTACTCAAGTTCTGGGCGAACCCCACCTCCGACAAGAACGAATCTAGAGAGGCGTTGGACCGTCGACTGAGCTCCACAAGACCCTCAAGATCATCAGCCCGAGGGAGAACCAACTTTTTGGTCAAGTCATCTGCATACTTGGTGAGCGAGCAGTCCACTCTCTGCGGCAAGGTGGTAATCTGTCCATTCAGCAGCACAGGCACTCTTGCACACAAGATATCGGCCAGCGGGTCCCACCGGCGCTGGTCGGCAAGCCACTCTTCAACAGGCTTGACGAAGGTCTTCAAACAAGTATTCACTGCAAACACATCCCCCATCAGCCCGCCACTCCCAGGTGCTATGTGTATGTCGGTGTCGTGTCCCCGAAGAGTGATAAGTGCGCTACGAAGCCCATGCAGACCGACCTTCGAGGTATTCTGTGTAAAAGGCTCAGGGATCGCACGCTCCATGTGCGGCCTAGAACTGCTAGCGAACGCGTTCGTGAGGTCATGCGCATTCGTGATGTACCGATAGCCCTCCTTCCTTAGCCACTCACCCTCGAACCCCTGGACGATCAGAGCACACTCCCGACGGCGAAACCGCAAAAACCCATGGTCTTGATCGGTGCTCTGCAGCGGGCCCTTCTGGGCCATTGCCCCTGAGGTCCTTGCCTTGCCCAAGGGGTCGAGCAGAGGATCCAGCGGGTTTTGCTGTCAGGCCGAGGAAGAGGATCGCCACGACTGCGATTCCAGTTCACTGGGACCTGGCCACAAGCGCGAATCCGTGCAAGTCCAGACACCAAAAGCTCCTGAAACTCTTGAAGATCATGAGGGCATCGATCGGCCCCAACCTCCAGAGACAGATTTGCCAGATTCCGCCAGGGAAACGAGCAAGCCACCATAGTTCAAGCGGCGGGGACCATTCAGGGACGGCCCGTCGTTTTCCAGCTTTTGAGACACGGTATCGGATAGCACGAAAGTCACGTTTAGCAGCAAGATAGTGGTCATCAAGTAAAGTAGCAGGCCCAGGAACGCGTGCAATCCACTGAGCGCGCCAAGCACGCCAGTCAGGAACAGCGTGCGCAGACATGCCCCCTTCGGGGCCAGGTCGGGAGACACGCTCTTTCAGCTGAGCGGCATCGTCGACCGTGCCCCGAATCGTGCTGTAGTTGCGCCTCTTGGGGCCAAACCGAGACCCAGCAGCACGGCGAGCAAGACGAGTAGCTTCGGCAAGGCGGCGATGACGCCAGTGTTCGCGGACCTCTTCTATAAGAGCTTCTCTCCGTGCCCCAGCCTCCCGTCGCCGAAAGACACGATACAGGCGGGATACATGACGCAGCTTGCCTTGAACCTGCTGTACAACAGATTCGTCAACCTCAGGGAGCAGCAGTCGAAGCTGACGGCGCTGCTCAAGAAGCTGCTCACGCTCAATATGAAACTGCTCCGACACCTCATCCCGAGTCCCTTGGAACACCTGCTGGCCAACCTCGATCAACAGCCCATTGACTTTCTCGAAGAAAGCGTCTGCCGTTGGGCGTGCTAGCAGCTCCTGAAGCAGGTTAGTTTCACGCTCAACACGCACATACAGTGCAGCCGTAAACTCAGCTCGGCGCTCGCCACGCCGCACACATCGCATGAGAGCGCCACGGTCCCAGGAGGCAGAGCGGGAGGACGGCGAGGTGTCTTTGGGCATGGAGAGGATGTAAGGGGGTCTTGATGATGAGGAGGCGATGGTCGGCAGGCTTCTGACTAGATATTATCTGCAATTCTCGACTCACTCGACGTAGTGGACCGCAATCCGCCATTATCTGGACAAGCGGCGATGCTACTGCTGCCATGGTTGTTCGAGAAGAAAGTCGACACGCGCTCGCGAGCACAGTTGGCAGCGCACATGTCGTGTGTGCCGAGCACCTCGGCAGCAGTGATACCTGCATAGAAAGCCTTGGTGGAACATTCAGGCGGCACCACATGATGCCCATCAGCTCGCCACCCGTCCCGCCCGTGCTGAATCAGCCCCAATCCATCATTCAGCTCCATCCCAAGAATCGGCGTTGTTCGCCGCGGCAACGCACACAACTGAGAGAATAGCCCGGCAGTCAGCGCATCACAGGTCTTTCGGTATGTAGCTGTAGCTGGTGCTCTAAGTTCCCGAGGGCGAGGTGGGTAACATAACGTAACCGCTGTGATGTCCGCAATCTGGGTTTTGACCCGAACCAGAAGCCCACGTCCCTGGAGGCAGTCAGGAGGAACAGCAACCCGAACAATATCCCTATCATGAAATCGTCGTTCCAGGATAATAGAGCAGCCAGCGAACGCACTAACATATGGACTGATTCGAAACCCAGCTTCGACAACGACTCGACGCCCTTCACTCCCAGGGAGAGAGACGGCACGGCGCCGAACACTCGTGCCTACCGCGGCCTTGACCTTGGTCCCCATGAGGCAGACGCAGTCAAAGCTGGTCGTGCGGCGCACGATCTCGCCCAAGCCATCGTCGGTGTTGGCCTTGAGGGGGTTGTAGCTGCCAGCTATGAGAGAAATCGTGCGGATGGCCAGCAGCCCCCAGCAAAGCAAGACAGGGACATGGAACGTGTAAAGAGAAGGAGTGCTACGTTAGTCAGAAACACAGCCCCGTTGCTGCGCAAGCAGAGTCTAGGGGCTGAAAAGGAATGGATGATGATGAGGAGGAGGAGGAGGAGGAGGAGGAGGAGCAGGAAGAGGAGGAGGAGGAGGAGGTGGCGGAGGAGGAGGCGGAGGCGGAGGAGGAGGAGGAGGGAAGAGGAGGAGGGAGGAAGGGGAGGAGGAGGAGAGGAGGAGGAGGAGGAGGAGGAGAGAGGAGGAGGAGGGAGGAGGAGGGGGGGGGGATGAGGAGGTTGCATGCGGCCATGGATGTGTCACTCGTTGCCAGTGCTTTTTTCCGAGAGGGGTTAGACACATATCAGATCATATTGCCCCGAATGAGGGAGGAGGAAGAGGAGGAGGATGAGGGGGAGGAGGAGGAGGAAGAGGAGGAGGATGAGGAGGATGTGGAGGAGAGATCTATGTGGTCCTCCAGGCCTCTTGTAGCGTCTTCGATGCTACGGAGGGGCCTCTCAGAGCCTCTTTTGTCTCTCGGCGGGGTCTCTCGGAACCTTTTGGGGGTCCTCTGGGGGGGTCTTTTAAGGCCATCTTGAGCCTCTCTTGGATCCCGTTGGGACGGTATAAGACGTCTTTTGTTGTCGTCGGGGCCCAAGGACTCAAAGGACGCGGGGGGCAGAAATTCCCCTCGCTCCAAAATAGCCTCTCGGGGCCCTCTCGGGCCGCTCTTGGAAGTGTCTGGGGCGCCGTAGTAAATTTGACTCAAGCCACTTTGGCCCAATACTCTTTCGGCACAAGTGTTGGACCAGACGCGTCACAGGACCTGGGCAGTGATGAGCTTCATTGGTGGACGTGGGGGATCTTTTATGGCAGCGGGCCCGCGCGGTGGGTTCGTTGCGGGCTCCCGCGGTGCTTGTGCTGGTGGCGGCGCGGGCGGCGGCGCGCTCGTGGGCAGCGGGATGTACCCCGGCGGCGCGGGCGGCGGCGCGTTCATGGGCAGCGGTGTCTACCCCGGGATGGGCTACGCTGGTGGCGGAGAGGCGTGCTGCGGAGGCCCTGGCGGTGGCGCGTTCGTGGGCAGCGGCGTCTACCCTGGGATGGGCTACGCTGGTGGTGGAGAGGCGTGCTGCGGAGGCCCAGGCGGTGGCGCGGGCTGCGCGGACGGGTGCGGAGTGGGCTGCGGGGGCATCGCCGGAACGACGATGTCGTACGTGGGCATGGGCGGCGATTACATCGCCACGACCGCCTACCAGTACGTGGGCCAGGGCGCTGGCACCTTCGGCGTGGTGCCGATCCCTGCGGCTGGGTGCAGCCCATGGTGGCTCTGCTGCTTCCTGCCGCTGCTCTTCGTCCCCTTGCTCTTCCTCGCGGGGACCACCACCACCACGACCACGTCCACAACGACCCCTGCCATCGTCACCGCGCCGCCGCCGGACGTAGTGCCGACGCCGCCGCCGAAGAAGGAGTGCTGCATCGACATGTGCAACTGTGCCCGCGATGGGACGCAGTGCGACGATGACTGTGGCTCCGAGGAGTGTACCGATTTCGACGACTGTGATGAGAAGGGCATCTGCATCACGGGCACTCCCGAATGTGAGAACCCCACGCCGGCGCCGCCGCCGCAGGGGCCCCAGAAGCACTGCAGGATCTTCGGTGACCCGCACGTGGTGACGTTTGACGGGCAGTCAGCAAGCTTCTATTCTCAGGGCGAGTACTGGATTGTGAAGAGCACCACGGTCTCGATGCAGGGCCGCTACATGCCGACTCCAGTGACCAACGGTCTCTCCGTCATGAAGGAGATCGCGATCGGCGGCCCCTTCCTGGAGGGCAAGGACGGCACGAAGAACGTCCTCCGCATCTCCTCCCTGCGGGCGACCTTCAACGACATCCCCATCATCTCTGGCTTTCCGGACGCTTGGGAGAACCAGGACCCGATGATCAAGGTTGTCACCGACGGCAGCGGGCAGGTGATGCAGTCGAGCCGCACCGGCAAGGATATGCGCGTCGTGCACGTGGACTTGCCGCTCAACATCCACCTGGAGATCAACCGTTGGAACGAGCCAGGCGAGGGCGATTACATCAACACGATGATCACCATGAGCATGCAGCCCAACCAAGACGGCCACTGTGGAAATTTCAACGGTGTGCTGGACGACGACACGAGGCCAGCCATTCGCGCCCGCATCGGCACCACGGGTGTCCCGCAAGCGGAACTGCTCTTCCACACCAAGACCCCTGTGACGCCCGTGAACAGGCCCGACCTCAACAATTGCGCGCCCGACAAGACTGAGACGGCCAAGGATCTCTGCTCGAAGAAGTCCAAGACCGGCATCCCTAACAAAGATTGCATGATCGACGTGTGCTTCGGAGGGGCGCACTTTGCCGACATGACCGACTACGATGAGTGAGTCGCGGCACGCAACACCACGATCTCGTGGAGATGTCGTGTCATGTGTAGTGTAGTCACGCAGGGGCATTCGGCCCAAGGTTCATCAATCTGCCGCAATTGTTTTACGAATCGGCAAAAGCTGAGACATGCGTGGCCGCTGTCAGGGCAGTGATCTTCCGCAGAGATTGGGCAAAGCTACCGGTCAAAACGGGGACGCCCGCAGAACAAGCGTTTCATGTAGGTGTTTCGGTGTGTGTTGTTTTTTCTTGATACCCTGAACCGCGGTCCCTTCCCGACCCTCGTGGAGATTTCGTGCCATGTGCACTGTAGTCGCGCAGGAGCATTCGGCCCCTGGGGCTCGAGTCAGGCTCACCGTTCTGCCGCAGTTCTTCGGACCGCCCATGGCCTGAGGGTGCGTGGCCGCTGTCATGGCAATGATCTTCCGCAGATATTGGGCAAAGCTACTGGTCAAAACGGTGTTCTAGTTGATCTATGTGCGCCGTGCGCCCTCTTCCTCCTCCGAGTCGCCACGTGGCACGGCGCGGCACGGCCTCTGGAGCGTCGAAGGCGACCGTGCGAGGTGTGGGGCGCAACCACATTACACACGTCGCACACCTCACGCAGCACATCAGGCGGATCACGCGACACACCACGCACAGTACATAGCACACAGCCCACAGCACGCGTCGCATGACATACACACAAACACATTTACACAACGTACACATCGCACATACCAAGCAGCACACAACGCACAACGCGAGGCACACAGCACACAGGGCAAATGCTACGACACTCACAACGCACAGCACGCAAAACACACGCACACATACTGGTGTGCCCCCCCCCCTCCCGCCCGCCCAGTACACCACAGCACACTCGCACAATGATATTTCTACAGCCTACAGCACACGACGTACGGCAGACCAGAGCAGCACCGCAGACCAGCGCTCCGCTCGCCCTGGAGATGGCGATGCTGCCGAGCCCATCGGGCACTCCAGCTGCGGTGCCTGCGCGCAGCCTGGGGGGGGGGGCGGGGGCGAGGCGGCACCGGACCCGAGCTCGAGGACGGGTGCACGGATTTGCAGGGTGCCGACAAGAGCCTCAGGAACCAGCGCAGCCTCCGGGAGCGTGGCCTGCGCATCCCTGGTGGCCGACATCGTTGGTGATCACATCTGAACCTTACTCCCACCCTAAGGGGGGGGTGGGGGTTCATTTGGATCGGGAGCTTTCGAGCGACGTGAACCCCCACCTTCCCTTAGAAGTTGTGCGGGGTGGGGATAGGGTTCACATGTGGTCGCCGACATCGGCAAGGCGACTGGAGGCGGAGACCAGAGCCGCTCGCGGAGGAGCTCGAAAGGTGCGTCTCCTCGAGCGGTTTGGCCTCGCTCCCGATGACCGGCGGCGCAGGCCAGGCTGCGGATCCAGCGGGCCCAGTAAGTCGCCTTACGTGGGAGTAGGTGGCAGCCAGCTCAGCGCAGCCAGCGAGCTCGAGGGCCTCAGGTGGCCCCATGGCCAATTCTAGGTTCGGCGTGCTGACCGCCTACGGTGCCCGAAGACCACCAGGGGCAGCGTCAGGGGGGGCAGGCTCAGGGGCGGATGCATCGACCCCCAATCGCCCATTCATTGCCGACAGGGGCCCGATAGCTCGACACACACAGGAAGCGTGCGGATTCGTTATCGGGGGCCTCTCGCCATTCTATCGGCGACGTATCGCTGATTCTGGCTTGATGCTTCCGCCCCTGAGCTGGTCCCCGCCTGAGCGACGCAGAACAACGGGGCCGTCTTCACCGACATTGGCGTGTCAGGTGCCCGCGCAAGGTCGCGCGTAAGCGCCCCCGTTTCCAATGTGGCCGTCTGGGCTGGCGGCCCGCATGAGCCACCGCGTGAGGTCGTGATGCCATCGCGTAAGACCTGCTTCTTTTCGTCGCTCACCTGACGTTGCCCCTCAGCCGTAGGAGCCTGGGCGCTCGCCAGCTCCCGCCGCTGGCGGTGGCGCTCCGGGCGCCCGGCAGCCACAAGGGCATGCGGCGGCCGGACGGCGGCCAGCGCGCGGGCGGCCCACGCGGGCGGCAGGTGCAGGAAGCCTGGCTGCGCAGCCCCGAGGGGGAGAGGAAGCGGGGGGCGCGAGGGCACAGGTTCGCCGCTTTCGCCAGGGAGGACCTCCTCGGCCCAGGGGCACCACCCTGGCCCGCCCATGGAGGGTCCTCCAGGGTGCTGCCCAGCAGGGTCGGGGAGGAGTCGCCAGGGGGTGGGGGCCGCCCTCTCCCCGAGACAGGGGAGGGCAGAGAGAAGAGACGGGAGATGGATGGGGAGAGGAGACGGGGAAGGAGGACGGGGAGAGGGAGGGGGATGGAGAGGGAGAGAAAGGGGCAGGGCAGCGACTGGGTCCCCGCAGAGTGTCCTGGCGCGCGAGGCGCAGAGTTCTCCCAGACCATGAGTAGGATCTCCCTGCGGCACACGCTCGCGGGCCAGGCGCGCGGCGGCGGAGCAGCAACCAGGAGGGGACGAGGAGGAGGGGAAGGACGAGGAGGCGGAGGAGGCGGATGATGATGATGATGATGATGATGATGATGATGATGATGATGATGATGATGATGATGATGATGATGATGATGATGATGATGATGATCATGATCATGATCATTATCATGATCATGATCATGATCATGATGATCATGATCATGATGATGATGATGATGATGATGATGAAACGATGATGATGAAGAAGATGAATGAAGAAAGAAGAGATATACTTGACGATGACGATGAAGATGAATGATGATATGATGATGATGATATATGCTGATTGATGATGATGATGATAGAATGTGAGAAGGTGGTGGTGGTGGATGAATGACGATGATGATGCGGTGTTGGTGTTGTGATGATGATGATGATGATGATGAATGGGCAGATGCTGATGATAATGATGATGATGATGATGCTATATGATATGATAAATAACAATAATGACGATTAAGGTGATGATGATCGTGATGCTGATAGCTCTGGCAGGCAGATGAAGATGATGCACATGATGACTGGATGCTGCAGCGATGAAAGATGAATGCTGATGAGGATGACGATGTGGATTATGAATGATGATGATGAAGATGATGATGATGATCGATGAGAATGATGATGATGATGATGACGATGACGATGATGCTGATGTCTGATGAAGCATGATCATTGCTGATGATGCTGATGCTGATGCTGGTGATTGTGGATGGATGATAGATGAGGATGAAGATGATGATGATGAAGATGATATGAATGATGATGATGAGCCTGCTGCTGCTGCTGCTAGATGTATGATGAATGAATATGATGTTGATGAAGGTGATGGTGATGGTGATGGTGATGTGAGGTGATGGTGATGGAGATGGTGTTGGTTGTGGTGTGAGGAGCAGGAGGAGGGGAGGAGGATGGGAGGAGGGGGGAGATGAGGAGGAGGATGAGAGAGGAGGAGGAAGAGAGAGGAGAGGAGGAGGAGGAGAGGAAGAGGAGGAGGAGGAGAGCGGAGGAGAAGAGGAGGCGGAGTGGAGAGAGAGGAGGAGGAGGAGAAGGAGGAGGAGAGGAGGAGAGTAGGAGGGATTGGGGGGGGAGGAGGAGGATGAGAAGGAGGTTTCATAACGCATGATTCCTTTACCATGGGTTGCTTCGTGAGTTTGCAGTATGTCTGCGGCAATTATTCTTTACCACGACAACCTGATGAGAAGGAGGTTTCATAACGCATGATTCCTTTACCATGGGTTGCTTCGTGAGTTTGCAGTATGTCTGCGGCAATTATTCTTTACCACGACAACCTCTAGTACAACCCTTTAGTCATGATGATTAGTCACGATGTCTTCAGCTTAGCACGTGTCCGTTAAACTTGTTGCTTTTTTATCACACGGGTTCTTGGTACAATGGCCCCGTTCGTTGGGAAGCTCGCATTGTGGAGACATTGTGGAGGCTCGTATAGTGGGGCCTTGTTCCCACGTGCAGAACGCTAGAGGACTAATTCACCGAACCTGCTGTTTCTTTAGGACACACACACACGCGCACACGAGACCACCACCACCACCACCACCACCACCACCACCACCACCACCACCACCACCAGCGTGTTGTCAGCCGCGATGGAGGAAACGGCGCGCTTCCTGCCGGTCTCGCCCACAGGACCCGCGGCCGATTTCTTGGGTTCGCCGTCGCGCGGAGGATTATTTGATGCAGCCGCGGGGCCAGCGGACTCTATCCGCGGCACTGCGGCGGCAGGATTAACAGAAGACGAGCTCGCAGCGGAGCTCGGACTGGCTGCTGCACTGGACACTGCCTCAGCGGCCGCAATGAACGCGGCGCCCACTGTAAGGGCCCCAGGCTGCGTTGCGGTGGCCGGGCTAACCTCCGCTGATTCTGCAAAGCGCACCCGCCTGGGCGGAGGGCCGTCGCCGCCAGAGGCCCGCTTGAGCGAGCTCGGCAAGGCCACGGGCAACGAAACTGGCGCGGCTGTGGCAGAGACATCAGTAGGCGACGCACCGAGTCGCGGCATCGTCGGCGCCCTGCCATCGCCCATCGACTCTGCGGCAGCCGGAGCCGAGGCACGGGAAGAACTCGAAGTCGAGCTGCGGACGAATCGGTCGCTCTGGCCGTGGGCTCCTCATGGGAACCTGCGAGCCCGAAGTCCTTCGCCTGGAGGCAGTTTTTCCCTCTCGGCGCACTCGCCGAGACCAATTCGTCAATGCACAAATCCTTTCACGAAGAAGCGGATCCCGGAGCCCATACCCCTTCCTGTCGACCATCCCATGGTGGCCGTTTTGAAGCTCGGCCGCCATGCAGGGTAGTTGGGCGGCGTTTTAGCCTGCGGATCCGATTTTGTGCATTGCTGGCGGCAGGCCTGTTTTCCTCCACTGTGCTGTGTTTCCGCGGCGCTCCTGGACGAGGTCGGAGCGTGTAGGTAAGCTGCCTCTTGGGTTGGGGGGGATTCCAGTGGTCCCTCATAGGCTGGGGGGGATTCCAGTGGCCCCTCTTCGCGTGCCCGCGGCCGCCTCGGCTCGTAGGCGGCCAGCCAACGTATGGTGGTTTCAACTCCTGTCGTTGCCTGCCGGGATCCTCTGCTTGGCGGGGGTGGGCGCTTGGGCCTCTTTCATGTGTGTTTTTTTACGTTCCATCGCGCTGATGTGCGGTGGGGCCCATCGTGCTGCGTGTTTGCGCTGAGCGCCGCGTGTGCGTATGGCAGCAAAAAACCATCACCACCATCACCACCACCACCACCATCACCACCACCACCACCACCACCACCACCACCACCACCACCACCACCACCACCACCACCACCACCACCAATAATATCCTGGCGAAGAGCTCAACCATACGCAGTTGTGGATACCGCCGTTGTGAGAACTGCCTTCGGTGGACCTCCCTATGGGCATGGAACGCGCGAAGGGTGCGCTGCAATGGGGCGGGACCGCCATGCGGGCGCTGCCGCTGGGGCCTTCGGTGGGGCTCCTTACGGAGCCGCGAAGCGTATGCGGGGTATACCAACGTAGAGGGGGGGGCATGCGAACCATGTCTCTGGGGCCTTCGGTGGAGCTCCCTATGGGGCCACGAAACGTGTGAGGGGTGTGCCACAGCGGAGGAGGGGCGGCATGCGAACTATGCCAATGGGGTCTTCGGTGCCGTTTTTTATTGGGCCACAAAGCGTGCGAGGGGTGTGCCAAAGTGGAGGGGGGCGGCATGCGAACCATGCCACTCTGGCTTTTGGTGGAGCTCCCGATGAGGCCGCGAAGCGTGTGAGGGGTGTGCCAAAGTGGAGGGGGTGGGGGCGGCGTGCGAACCATGTCATTCAGGCCGGCGGTGGAGCTCCCCATGTGGCCACGAAACGTGTGAATTGTGTGCCACACTGAAGGCGGGGCATGCGAACCCTGCCATTGAGGCCTTCCGTGGAGCTCCCTATGGGGCCACGAAGCGTGTGAGGAGTGTGCCAAATTGGACTGGGGGGGCGACGTGCGAACCATGCCATTGGGGTTCGGTGGATCTCCTTACGGTGCCGCGAAACGTGTGAGGGGTGTGCCAACGTGGAGGGGCGGCGGCATGAGAACCATGCCACTGGCCCGCAGTTGAGTTCCCTATGCCACGAAGCGTGTGAGAGGTGTGCCAAAGTGGAAAGGGGGGAAGCATGCGAACCAGGCCATTGGGGCCTTCGGTGGAGCTTTGTATGGGGCAGCGAAACGTGTGAGGGGTTGTGCCAATGGGACGGGGGTGGCATGCGAACCATGCCACTAAGGCGTTCGGTGGAGCTTTCTATGGGGCCACGAAAAGTGTGGGGGGGGTGCCAACGTGAGAGGGGTGACGCGAAGAGGGAGGAGGAGGAGGGAGACATAACGCGGGCCGTTGTCTTTTCAAAACGGGGACCCAGCACCACAGGTTGGTTGGGATGAAGATATGCACGTCCGTTTTTTTTGTGTGTGTGAGGGGAGGGACAGGAACACTCCCCCCCCACCACACACACACACCACAGCACACCACACCACACCACAGCACAACACAACACAACACAACACAGCACAACAAAACACAACACAACACAACGCAGCACAACATAATACAACACACCACAACACAGCACAACACAACACGACACAACACAACAAATCACAACACACCACACCACACCACACCACAACACACCACAACACAGCAAAACACAACACATCAAACCACAACACACCACACCACACCACACCACACCACACCACAACGCAACGCAACACAACACAACACAACATAACAACACAACACTCCAGAGCACAACACAGCACTGTACAACACACACAAATACACACACACACACTCACTGACGGACGCACGCACGCACGAACGCACACACACACAGCTACACAAAAACACCCACACATACGAAACCATCACTACCACCGTTCCCCCGCCCCACATTCACAAACACACGCGCACACAGACACACGCACGCACCCACGTACACACAAGCACAAACACAAACACAAACTCAAGCACAAGCACAAACACAAACACACACGGACACCTTATTCACACAGACGCGCACACACACGCGCATACGCATACGCACACGCACACGCACACGCACACGTACACGCACACGCACATGCACACGCACACGCACACACACACACGCACACCACACACACGAATAGAACACATAGAGAATAATAATGCAGAGAAGCGTGAAGAAAGGCTCTAACAGACCGCATACTCCACAAGACCCTGTTTTCTCCTCGGGACGGTCACTTCATCCGGAGTCGTTTTTCGACGGTCTCGGTTTCTGGCGAGGGCCCCCAGGGGCCGAAACTGGTACGAAAGTGTCCGCCATGTTTTTTTGTTACGACGTGAAGGGATCTGCCTGCCCCCTACTCCCCCCAGGCTGCGGCGCTGACTGCAAGGGACCTCTGCGTGGAGTTGTCCAGCTGGCATCTGAAGGTCAGGGGCAACCTTAGGGATGGATAGGCTCAGGGGGGGATGCATCGACCCCCAATCGCCCATTCATCGCCGACAGGGGCCTGATAGCCCACAACTCCCAGCAACGTGCGAAGTCGCTATCGGGGGACTACCGCCGATCTTTCTGAGAGGTATGGCCCCTCTTGAGCCGGTCTCTACCCTAGCGATGCAGAAAAACGGGGTCGTCTTCGCCGACGTTCCAGCGTAAGCAACCCGCGTAAGGTCGCGCGCAAACGCCTTCGTTTCCCATGTAGCGTGCCGCGCTGGGCCCGCGTAAGCTGCAGCGTAACGTCGTTATGCCATCCCGCGCAAGACCCATTTCTGATCGTCGCTTCCCTGAACTGGTTCCCTTATGGTCTTCGGGTCACAACGCGGGCGTCCATCGGCCGGTCGGGACGATCTGGACACCCCCGGAACGCTCTCGGTGAGGAGCAGCCGCTGGAGGGCACACCAGGGCTGGAAAACCACCGAGAAGCGACAGAAACGTCCAGAAACCTCGGGCCACCTCGGAACGTCGAGCCGGTCTTCCCCTGGCGTTTCCCCCCCAGAAGGCCTCGGCCCCTGGCAGGCCCGAGCTCGACGAGGTCCTGAGGCCCCTGTGCGGCGACCTCGGCGGCGGGGTGCGCCGAGACCTCTCGTGGTGGGCGCTGGAGAAGGACGTAGCGGGCAACGCTAGTCGGCGGCGAGCCCGGGGGTGAAGTGAGAAGGGGCGGGCCTTCTCAGAGGGCTCGGAAGCCCTCCCCAGCCTTCTGAGAAGATTGTTAAGCCTTGCACGAAGATGCAGAGAACTTCTCAGAAGGCCAGAGTCCTTCTGAGAAGTTCCGCCGCCTTCTGAGAAGGCGTTCTCCTTTTCATTCCCTCCCCTCGCTCGCCATGGATAGTCTAATCGGGCGTTGCATGCTTGGTTGGGTGACGAAAGGTTCACCTCTTGTGCCCTAAAGGGGCCCCTTGAGGATCAGGAGGGGCACGCAAGGTACATGTCTCCCCCCTCCCCGTATCTCCCCCCCTTTATATCGCCCCCCTTTAACCCAACCTCTGCCACTGCCCCACCTTTACCCATCGGTCGTTGGAAGTAGGTATTTTGGGATTCCCAGTGCCCAATTTGCTTTAGCCGCCCTCCTACTTCAGGAGTCGAGTGGTTTTTCCTCTTCCTTCCTCTACAGGAGGCGGGCGGAAACCCAATCTACTTTAACGCCTTCCTACTTCATGGTTCTATCTACTTCTTCCGACCGATGGGTACGTCCCCCCGACCTTGGCGATGGCGGAGGTGCTTTTGGTGCGCCACCCGCCGGGGAGGGGGACAGTGGTTTCGCAGGTGCTCGACGCACTTCGAGCAGGGGCGGGCTTTCGTGTCGCCGCAGGCGAGTCTGGGGACAGGCTCGAGGCTCGAGGGTTGGGTCTCGCTCTCTTGAGGCTTCTGACTTTCCCAGGTCGTCCTCGTGGCCACGGCTGGATCCGCCTCGAAGTGCTGGGCAGAACGCACCCTAGGAGAGGTCCACGGATCGATTTTGACCCCCGGTCAGGTGCCACGGCTGTTGGTTTCGGACGTTTTCGTGGGTTGTCGGCAGTTTTCCAGCTTTGGGGTGCTCTCCAGTAGCTGCGCCTCGCCGAGGGCATTCCGAGGGTGCCCGGTTCGTCCCGAACGGCTGCCGAAGGCCCGAATTGTGATTCGAAAACCAATTGGGGCAATGCATCGACCGAGCTCAGGGGGGGATGCGTCGACCCCCAATCGCCCATTCATCGCCGACAGGGGCCTGTAGCCCACCCCGCCCAGGAGCGTGCGGGTTCGCTGTCAGAGGCCTGTCGGCGATGCATCGTCGATTCAGGCTCGATGCTTCTCCCCCTGAGCTCGTCCCCGCCTGAGCGACGCAGAGCTACGGGGTCGTCTTCACCGACATTTGCGCGTAAGGTGCCCGCGTAAGGTCGCTCGCAAGCGCCTCCGTTTCCAACGTGGCGTGCCGCCCTGGCGGCCCGCGTAAGCCACCGCTGTCTTTGACCCTGTCACACCGCTGGCGTGTCGATCCGGTGCCCCCCCTGTCGTTGACCCTCTGGGACGGGCCAGCTTCAGGCGGGGGGGGCCCTCGCGCGGGGTCAGCCTCGTATCGCGGGCGCACCGCGCAGTGCTTGCACGCGGCGGGGGTGGGTTCGGGGTTGTTGGCGGGGGCGGCGCCGACGAAGGAACGTAGAATTCGTAGGAGGAAGAAATGCAGATACCGCTGCTCGTCCTGGGCAGTCCTCGTCGCCACGGCTGGATTCTGTTCGAGATCACGGTCAGCACGCACCCTGGAAGAGGTCCGCGGAGCAGCGGCATCGGTGCTCTTTTGCCCCCCATCAAGAATACCCGACAATGCTTGTTTCTCTCGGGCCGATCCGATTCGGTCTCGGCTCTGGCGATTCGACGCAGCCCGATGTTCGCACTGCCCTGCTGCAAATCATGGAGCTGCGAACGCTGTGCGATTCTGCACATCTTCCGATCCGATTTGGTTTCCCGATTTGATGTTGACTGGTTTCTTTTGGAAGGACCACAGCGGAGACAACGTGTTTACAATCCAGCTCGTGAAGAGGGAGCACAAGGCTTGGAGCAGCGTGTGGTGCATGGGTATAAACCCTCATCGAAAACAGACGTTTGCGTGGACGGAGAGGCAAAGGGACTCCGCCGCCGTCGCGGCGACGAAAGCCGAGGACATGCTCGTGCGAGTGAGGCCCGGCAAGCACGCGAAGCAAGACAAGGACCCCTTCGTCATCAGCCGGGAGAACCTGTGCCGCAGCTACGAGGAGGGTCAGACCGAGACCACGGTCACGCTCCGGGTGCACTTCTGGCCAGATCACCTGGAGTCGGCGGCCCAGTCCGTGCCGATGGGAGAGCTCTTCGGCGCCGACGTGACGGACAGGTGCTGCAAGGTGTTCATCAGGGGCGACGAGCGGAGTCCGATGATCATGGGCGAGCTGTCCAAGGCCGTCGTGCCTGAAAGGACAACGTGGAGCATAATCAAGGCCAAGCCGCCGCCAGACTTGGACCAGGAGACGCGCATCAGCTTCAGGGTTGAACATTCGCCGCCTGCTCTACTGAACTATCTGCTGTCTCTTTGTGCTCTCATCGCGGCACTGATAGTGGATGTGTCCATCAGCGCGACGCCATATTTTTCATGGAACCGTTCTACCACTCCTACTACCCCAGCTTCGAAACGCAGCTCCGCTATCGCTGCACCCTCCTGCCTTGGACTGTGCTTCTCTCGGTCCTCCCAGCCCGGTGAGTGATGCCCATCGGTGTTGAAAGTCTACAGCTTCGGATCCCGAGATTCCAACCTACTGCAAGCGCCTTCGCACTTCAATGATCGAGTGGTTCTCCCTCGGCTTTCGCGTCTTCGGGGGGGCCGGGCGTAGATCCAGTCTCTACCTCTAAAACGCCTTTCTGCTTCGTGCCTCTGCCCACTTCTTCTGACCGACGTGGCTAAGCCCGCCCTTGTACCCCAGGGGAACAAAAGACGATCATGTGTTTGGTTTCTTATCCATTGTTTCGCCGATCGGCGCGGGCCCTCGCCCCCCCCCCTCCCCCCCCAATGGAGTAGATCTTGGCTGTTTTCGGCGCTTGTTTCAAGCAGGTGGAGTCTCTACCCCATAGGACGCACGGTTGCAGACAGCCGCACTAAGCCGGAGCCAGACCCCCCCCTCACCCCCCTTCCGCCCAATGTCGAAACGCCGAACAAGAAAGCGCTCACCATTGCACCATCGTCGCAGAGCGGATTTCGTTTGGAAAACAAACGCTGGGGCGGGCCCGGAGTGTCCTGGAGAATTTTGTTCCGGGTTTCGAAGTGAATGTCGTGTGGATTTGTTTTTTGGCCAGGATTGAAGATTGCAAAACATCCACGTGTGAAATTCACTTCGTTTTTCGCTCGCCGTTTCCGGGTTTTGCATTGGCAGAAATCCACGCGAAAATCCGCTGCAGCGCGTCTGCGAGGTCGGTGCAGTGAAAACGGTACCGAAGCCACGCTCCCGGGACCTCTTCGATGGTACGTTCTGACCAGAACTTGGGATGCGAATACGGCTGCCGCGACGAGGGCCTCCCAGGAGGCCCAGAAAAAGTAAAAACGAGGCAAGCGTAGCGGTATCGGTACGTGTCCTCCTCTGAGTACATTGGCGCCAATGTGCTCCCAGCGCGATGGAGAGCGCCTCAGCGGCGGCAGCCGTGATGCGGAGACCCCCTGGCCGCCATTGGCTTCCAGGGGGCACGACGGCAGTGTGGGTTCAAGGGTCGAATCTTTCCCCTTTTTTGTTTTAAAAAATTGTTTTCTTGGTGGCGGGGCGTCGTTCGCTTGCTGTTGGTGTCGGCGCGGTAACCTGCTCTGCTCAGCCGCCCCCGGCCGTCGAGGAGAGCCCGATGAGGCAAACACTCTTGATTTTGTAAAGGTTTATGCAGGATTTTGATGTTCTGGCATGTTTGGTTTCCGACCGCTCAAGGCAGCCCAAGAAGCCTCTCTGGGCCGTCTTGTTGCTCTTTTGGGAGCGCTTCAGGCCTGTCTTTGGGGCCCTCTTTGGGAGCCCATTGGGCGATCTTCGGGTCCTCTTGGGCCGACCTGGGGCCCTCTTGAGGGCCTCTTGGACTGTAAGCCTCTTGGAACCCTCCTTGGGGCGTCTTGGGCGGTCGGGAACTCGAACGGGCGAGAACCTCGATATCCTTCACACGCCGAAGGCAGATCAATGGCTTCGGCCCCATTTCGGGCTCTTCAGGAAGGCCTCTTGGAGCTCCCTCGTGCTGTCTTGGGGGCCGCTTGGGCCGTCTTGAGGCCCCGTTGGGCCATCTTGGGCCGTCTTGAGGCTCTTTTGGGAGTCTCTTGAGCTGTCTTGGGCCATCTTGCGCTGTTTCGCTGTCGTCTTGGCTGTCTTGGAAGCCGTCTTGGAGGCCATCTTGGCAGTCTGGAGGCCGAACAGACCGCCGGGCAGCAATTTCAGAGGGGCCGATTTTCGAGGGGCGCGTGCGGCGAGGGGGGGGGGTCTGTTAAAACTTTACAACCTTCCAAACAAAACTCCGAGCTGGCACGGTGGCGGAAATTAGGGCCCCACGACCCGCGACCCCCCCCTTCGTCTAGGCAGGCTGGCCGCGGAAGCAAACCAGGCCTGAGCACCTGTCCTGCCCGATCCTCCTCTCCTTTCCCTCTTCCCTCTTCCGTCCTCCTCCTCCTCCTGCTCCTCGCCCACTCTTCCTCCTCGCCCGGCGCCCCCTCTTCCTCCTCGTCGTCGTCGTCCTCCTCCTCCTCCTTCTCATCTCCGTAGCCATTTTGGCTCAAGGTTGGCATGGTTGTATGACCATCGTGCCTCCCCTTTTTTTGGTTAGCATCTCTCTTTCCCATGTAGACGGCGGCGGCCCCCAATACCACCATCTGCGAACTCCATGGGCGGCTGCTCTGGGAGCTTTGGGCGGCGGCGGGCCGCCACTTCGAAGGGCTCGAGGAAGCTGGCCGTGCGCTGCGACGCGGTGGCCAGCTGTCGGATGGTTCCGCTAAGAAGCTTGCCCGGCTCGGGCAGGCTTACAATCTCGTGCGGCACGTCACCGAGGTTTCGGCGGACAATTTCTTGGACAAGATCTTGCAGGAGTTAGGCCGGCGCTTGCGTGGCTACCAACGCCGATGTCCATGAGGATCCTGCTATTCATGGGCCACCTCCTCTTCCTGTTCCTGTGAAAATATCTCTGGGATGGCTCATGGTTTCACTGCCTTCAACAAGCACGCTCCAGTCTTCGTCCCTGCCATGGGCCAGTCGCAGAGCAATGGTGGCGTTCTTGCACCTGTTTCTGCACGTGACCAGTGCGGGGTCCTTCTTGAAGCTCTTGGTCATGACGGTTGTAAACAAGATCTTCCAAGTGGACCTCTTTCTGAAGAGGATGGCCATGATGTGGATCGTGCTGTCTGGGTCGCCCGGCTCGGCGGCTCCAGTGCTGAGCCGCATTGCAACGCTCCCGGTGATCGTCGGCATCTCCTCGATCGTCCTAGCGATTCGCCTTGTGATGTCCAGCTGCGTCCACTGGCCGTCGAATGCAGCGACTGCCACAGGGCGCGGCTGTTCTGCACTACTGGCAGTGAGTTGTACCGCGCGTGCGTGCGTCGCGCCAGGTTTGCCACATCGTGTTGCTTGCTTCCTCTCCTCTCTTCGCCCTTTCGTCCTGCGGGCGTCCTCTGATGATCCCAGGCGGAGTCCAAAACCAAATCTTCTTCCTCCTCGTCGCTCCCTCCTCCTCGCTCCCTCCTCCTCCTCCTCCTCCTCCTCCTCGCCCCGTCCTCCTCCCTCCACCCCTCCTCCCTCCTCCCTCCCTGCCTCTCCCCTTTTTCCCTTCCCCCCCTCCACCTCCTCCCTCCCTCCTCCGCCTCCTTCCCTCCTCCCCCCTCCCTCCTCCTCCTCCTGTCCCCTCCTCCTCCTTCTCCTCCTCCTCCTCCTCCTCCTCCTTTCCCCTCCTCCTCCTCTTCACCCCCCCCTTTCCCCCCTTCCCCCCTCGTCCCGAAAGCGCCCGCGCCCGGCCCGCGGCGGCCTCTGCTGCCGCGGCCGCCGCGGCCGCCCCGCCCCCCGCCGCCGAGCCCGGAGGAGGGGCGGCCGGTGCCCAGGAGCTGCCCGTTGCCCTTCTGCCCCGCGCCGCAGGGGACGGCGACGGCGACGACGGGCGGCGAGCGACGAGCGACGAGCGACGAGCGACGAGCGACGAACGACGAGGACCACGACGACTAGGGACAAATGGCGACGACCGACGAACAACGACCACGAGCTTTGGCGACGGCTGCCACGAAACGTTTTCGCGGCACTCCTTTTTGACAGCTCTGTGTGGCGTGTTGGGTCCGCTGGCTGCCTTCCCAGGGGCTGGCCACACGAGATGTTGCCACTGTTGAGAGCCAGGGTCGACGGGGCGCCTCGGGGGCGGGGAGCCATGACGCCCGCCCGCTCCCACTGTGACAAGAACGCAGCGGCCCTCGTCGCCTCCCGAGGAAGGAGGAGGAGGAGGAGGAGGAGGAGGAGGAGGAGGAGGAGAAGGAGGAGGGAGGGTAAGGAGGAGGGAGGGTCCTCGTCGCTTTCCAGCCGCCTGCTGCGTCGACCAGAGAAGCTTGTCGTTCTAGCGGCAGCTTCTCGCAGGCCCCATGGTGCACAGACGAGAGCAGCTCCACATCGAAGCTGTGACCATGACCACCACCACCACTCTGCTAGCCTGGGTCACCCTCGGGGACGCGAAGCTAATCGCACTTCGCGCGTCGCGGTCTCGGCCTGAGTGGCTGCCCTTCTCCAAAGGGGCGGCGCGGGGGCACGATGGCGCAGAGATAAACGCACGTCCCACATCGCGGGGCGCGCTGCGCGAAGTTCGGTGGCCTGGCTTGCAAACTGGCTCGCAAGCGCTCTTGTCTTGTCCTGCCCTCCCAGTCTTCCACCCCCCCCTCCGCCAAGGACGCCAGAGGAAGAGAAACTGGCCGACTGCCTGCAGGTCCCTCTGGGCTGTCCTTCGCGTGAAGCAGGGGGCCTCCCCGAAACCCTGCCCCCCTTCCCGTACAGAAGAAGAAGAAGGAAGCAAGGAAAAAGGAGGTGCGCCTTATCGTTGTTTCCCTTCTACCCTCCTTGCTTGCATCCTCCAGAGTCAGGAGGAGGCCCTGCCTGACGGTCCCCCCCCGTTTTGGAGGGTACTTGGCGCATCTACACTGGTTCTGACCCGCAGTTTTCCTTCCGCTCCCCAGGGGCGAGGGCAACTGGGGGGGGTGCAGCGCTTCGTCGTAGCATTGATGCTTGCAGCTACGAGTTACGAGGGCGAGGACGAGGAAGAGGATGAGGAGGAGGACGTGTTTCGGTATAGGGCCCCAGGCTTCTGTGCAACTGCTGGCGTTTTGGCTCAAGTAATGTTAACAGCCGTCAGGCGGTCTTACCCACCTGTGTACTTCAACGTCGGCCGCTTACAGCAAGTTCTGACTCGCGAAGGTGAAGCGATGTTAGACTCTCACCTCCCCCTCCTCGCTCCATGTCACCCGCGAGCGTGCGCCACGCAGCATGTATGCCACTATTTGGGTGTCGAGGGTGGGGCCGCTGGTGGATTGCCAAGTTGCTAGAGACGTGGGGCGAAGAGCTTCGGTCGGTGTATTTTTTTTGTTTTGGCGACACTGCGGCAGCAGTCTCCGGGTGTATCAAAGGGCATGCCCGCCCCCCCACGTTGCTTGCGTGGTTGGGCCAATACACGATCTGATGTGTACTTTCGACATCCGGTGCTGGTTTGAGTACGTTCACACGTCTTCAGATCCCTTTGACGCTGCCTCTCGCGAAGGCGGGGAGGCAACACTTCTTGAGCTTGGGGCTGAGGTGGTTGCTACCACCCCCACGCTTACGGTGGACTTCAGCCGGTGCCGCTGATAGCCAGTTCTGGGGTCTCGCCGTTTTCTGCTGTAGAAGCTGTGCCTGCCTGTGCTGTTGCGGCTGGCCTCGTCGTCGTTGTCGCCGTTGTCGTGTCGTTATCGTCGTCGTCGTCGTCGCCGTCGTCCTCCTCCTCCTTCTCCTCCCCCTCCCTTCCCATCCTCTTCCGCCTTTTCCCGTTTTTTCCGCTTCTTCCCCCCCGCTTCATTTGTCCGCTTGGGCCCCCTTTGGCATCGACGACATCCTTCCCCAGGCCCAGCGCCAGCCAGAAGCCCAAACTGGAGGCGGTGATGACGAGGCGTACGAGAACGAGGAAGATGAGGAGGGCGGGGGGTCGTGGAGCAAATGGCGGAGGACAGGTGGACAGCGCTGCTGTGCGCGGGCGGCGGTCGCGCTTGGCTCCAATGGTGTGGCGGCGGCCGGGGCGCCTCCCGCATGACGCCGAGGCTACGCCGCGTCGGGCCGACCTACTCGCCCCCGCGGCGCAGGGCGTGGCGCGAACCGGGGCCGTGACCGAAAGGTGCCAGCCAAACGCTCTGGCCGCCCCGGCTGGCGCCCGCAGCGCCGCGCAGACTTCCGCGTCCTGTGCGGCCGGGCCGTTGTTTGCCCCGCAGGACCTCCAGGTCCCGCAGGCCGTGGGGGTGACGGCGGTCCGCTGCACTGCCCGCGCGTCGCCTCGCCGCCCCCCCCTCGTGGTGCAATCGTTGTCAGCTGCTGCTGGCGGTTCAGAGACCTACCTCATGGGGCGTGTTCTGGCGCGCGGTTGAGTCGTTCGGGCAGGCGTGTGAGCGGCGCAACTGGGACATGATGGTGGCGATGAGCAGAGACAGAAGCTGCGCCGCCCGACATCCAGACGGGGACCCTCCCCGCCAGGCTTTAAAAACCCTGGAGGAAGCCCGCGCCTCAGGGTTGGATAGGGTCAGTCTTGCAGAGACGGTTGTGCAAGATCGCTGCTTATGCAAAACTGTGCCGTCCACCCTCTGGACATGCGCGTCCCGATTGCGGATGATCGCGTGGGCCTGCAAGATCTTCGGCGCGCCCCCGCTGGGGTGCGACGTGCAGCGCATCCGCCGGGTGGCGGCCGCGCGCGCGTGCGCGTCCACGCAGCGCGGGTGGCTTAGCGCGTGGGCCATGGCACGCCAGGTGGCTTGCGTTCCGTGGCAAGGGGGTCAGGATATCATCTTCCGCGGTATCCACCTGGGCACTGCCAAGTGCAGGACGCCCCGGTTGCCCCGCCATAGGGTCGACCGTGGGCTCCTGCGTCGTTTGCTCCGCCACGCGCTGTCGCTACAGTGAACATGGTGGTGTGTTATCGCGGCATTAGTGTGCAATTTTCAGTTGCGGATGCCGTCCGAGCTGTTTGCGCAGTGCAAGCGCGCCCTCGTGCAGACACATGGCGGCCGTTTTGTTTTCGGGCCGATCCGTCGCACACGAAGAGTCGATTTGTGCACCGTGTTCTCGTTTTGTCCGAGTAGAGTACATCGGGGCATGCGCCCCCATGCGTGGCTGACGGGGTGGGGCGAACTCTTCCTCAGTGGAAGCCCTCGGCATGGTGGGTGCGCGCCTGCATCTTGGGCGGCCGAGCTCCGTCGTCACATGCGCGCTGTCAGGGTCGCTGACCCCGAGGAACGGTTTGGCCATGATGTACGGCGAGGCGCCGCCGCCGACGTTTTTGCTGCGTCGGGCGTTGAAGCCATGCTGTCGCGAGGGGGCTGGCGCTCGGTGGCGTCTGCCAGGCCATGCGCGTCTGGCGATGAAGTCGCCGCGGGCCTGCTGGCGCAGGGCGTCGTCGACGACTCTGGCCCCGAAAATGAGGCGGGCGCCGCTGTGCCTGATCTCTCGGCCCCTCACTTTTTTTCCTTCGTTGGCGTTGGGGCTGGCGGCGGCCTGCGAGAGCGCGCGCGTGGCCAATGTAACGGGAGCAGGAGGATTCGGAGGTGGAGCTAACAGAATCCCATCATCATCGCGATCGTCCTGTTAACTTTGCAGCGCGGCGAAACGCGGGCATGGCAACGAGACCGGGTGCAACTGCACCTACGTCGCGGCAGTGAAGGGTGCTGCGCCTTTGTGCCGGCTTCGGGCCTGCTGCTTTTATTGCTGCAACCGAGGTGATTATAAGTTCGTCAAAGCTGGCCTGTCGTCGAACCATGACGCGATGACGGCGTGGCTTGAAGAGCAAAACGCGCGGGTGGTATAGGCTTCCCTAATGCGCGCGCGACGTCGTCGATGAGGGCGCGCGCGGGAAATTTCACGCAATCGCGACAGCCGCCGCGGGGCAGGCAGCGCGCAGGGCGAGCGTGCGGGCCGTCAAGTTGGAGAAATATCGAAGACGCCCACGGCGAATCGCCGCCGCCCCCGCCTCTTTGGACGCGCCTGCGCGGCCGAAGCTTGGGTTTGAGCTTGGCCCGGCTATCGGGCCGCGCGTTCCCCGAGTGGGTTTCGAAAGCCGTCGGGGAGCGCGGAGTCGGGCGAGCTATCGGGCCGGGTGGTCTCCGAGCTTTCGGGCTTCCTGGAGGGCGTCTTGGAGGGGTCCTGAGCCGTCTTGGAGGCTTCTGGCGGGCCTTTTGGGCAGTCGAAGGCCATCTTCAGCCATCTCGGGCCGTCTTGGGCGCATCTTGGTGCCATCTTCGCTGTCTTGGAGGCCTTCTTGGAGGTATCGTGGAGGCCATTTTGGCCGTCTTGGAGGCCATCTTGGGCGTGCTCGGGGCCATCTTGGGCCGTCTTGGGACCTTCTTGGTGCCCTTGGTGGCCTCTTGGCTTGTCATGGCGCCATCTTGGGGCCCTCTTGGGCTCTCTTGGGACGGCGTCGGGGGCCTTGGGCCGTCTTGGGCCGTCGGAGAGCTGATATCAAGAAGATGCCACCATTCTTCAAACACATCCGGCAAATCAATGATTCCCTACCTAGGCTCTGCCTAGAAGGGTTCTTGCTCTCTGGGGTTAAAGGGGCCGGGCAGTGGAAAGCGCCCCGGGCGGTTCCCCCAGTATCCGCCCCGCGGTTCCCCCAGTCGCGTCCCTTTAGCTTAGCGTTGCTTACCTCATCTTATTAGCTTAGCTTAACTTAGCTGGGTTTAGCTTAGCTAAGCCTAGCCTAGCTTAGCTTAGCTTTAGCTTAGTTTAGCTAAGCCTAGCCTAGCTTAGCTTAGCTCATCTTAGCTCAGCTTAGCTTAGCGCAGCGCAGCATTAGCATCGCATATCATATCATGGCATACCATCGCATAACATAGCATAGCGTCGCGTAGCATAGCATAGCGCAGCATATCATAGCGCAGCATAACATAGCATGGCTTATCATATCATATCACAGCATGGTGCAACATACCACCGCACATCTCAGCATCGCATAGCTTAGCTTAGCATAACACTGCGCATCAACACAAACCATATCATATCATCGCACAACATAGCATGGCATCGTGCATCATAGCATAGCATGGCATATCATAGCGCAGCAGATCACATTATATCATATCACAACATAGCGCATCATATCATATCATATCATATTATACCATAGCGCATCATACCACAGCAACATCGCAGCATATCGTATCACAACATAGCATATCATAGCAAATCATATCAGGTCATAGCACATCATAGCATAGCATAGCACATGCAATGCACGTCAACAATCAAACCAGTGCGAAAGTGAATATGTATATGTAGCTGAAGGTGTAGGTGTAGATGTGGATGTCGGTGTAGATGTATATGTAGATGTAGGTGTAGCTGTAGGTGTATATGTAGATGTAGATGTGAGTATCGCTGTTGATGTTGATGTAGATGTAGATGCAGGTGTCGATGTTAATGTGGCTGTCGGTGTAGATGTTGCTTTCCTAGATGCTCCAACTCCTGGGCCGGGCCGCACTGGGATATGTTTTGCCCTTTCGGGCCTTCCTGGAGGGCGCCTTGGAGGCCCCTTGGGGGTCTCCTCGGCCAGCCTGAGGCCGTCTTCGAGCCATCTTGGGCTGTCTTGGGGCTTCTTGGGCGGACTTGGAGGCGCCGTGAATTCACTCGGGCCGTCTTTGAGGCCATCTTAGACCATCTGTGGCGGACTTGGCGGCCATCCTGGGCCATCTTGAGGCCATCTTGGAGGCCATCTTTATGAAACGCATGTCCTTGGATAACCCCATCAACGTTGGTTTTTGTGAAACGTACTCGCGGAATAGGTGCAAGATGCGATCGGGGGCACGAGCGCAAGTGCATGCAAACGGTCGGCGCGGAGTCTATATACCTGCGAAGATACCCGCGCGCTTGCAGAACCCTAGTGCGATAGCAGCGCAGCTACCCCCGAACACATTCACTTTCGTCGGCCAGGCGCAACGTTTCTGCATAAGTACATTCCGTTTCATCGGTCAGGCGCAACGTTGGTGCAATAAACGTGGTGCAAACTATGCGTTGCAGCCGCGTGGTGCAGTCTGAAAGGGCGGTGCAAGCTATGCGGTGTGTAATCTATGTGGAAGAGGAGTAGGAAAAGGAGGGGTAAGGAAGACAAAGAGGGGGAATTATGTCAGACTGGCGCGTGCCTTGCTACGTGCGTGCGATCGGTGTTGTCCAGGACTTTCTTAGTTCATTTCAGCTGCCCGACCCCGCTTGGAATGTTTGAGTTTCGTTTTCCATAGCCCGTTTTGCTCCAGTTCATATCCGGTTAATGTAGACATCTTCGCCCCTCTTCCCCCATCGAGGAATGTCGCGAGTCGCGAATAGATGGAACACGCTGGATCAGGCCTTGCTTCTTGGGATGATTCTTCCGACGATGAGTTGTTGGGCCCAGTTGTTGGATTAGATTCGTGGGGGGCGGGGCCAGGCGATGATATCGATTTGTCGGCATGGGCTGACGATGGCCCCAATGACGACGGTGACGCGTTAGATGGGGATGCGCAGAGCGTTCTGGCCGAAGCGCATCATCCTGAGCCTGAGCCCGCACAAGTGGACATCCGCGGCCACGGTTTGGATATGAGGCTGGCGTTCCGCCAACTTTGGCAACGCGTGCGTAACCATATCATGGAGGTAATCAGGCCGCCTGCGGCGGCCCCGCCAGATACTGTGCAATTGGAGGATTTGGGCGTCTGTGAGGGCGCCGACGAGGACGATATTATTGGCGTCGCTGAGCCACTTGGGCCACCTGTGCCAATGCCAGACGAAATTCCGCGCCGCAGACTGGCTGCGTCGCTCGAACAGGTGGCCGTCGTCGTTCAGGCTGTTCTACTAAATTCGATCGTCGCGCCGCCCCCTCCCCAATTCCTGGGGCCGCTCCTGGCTGCAGCCTCACGGCCCTCTCGGGCCCAAGTGCGCTCTCGAACCCATCCCCGCGGCAGTCCTTTCGCCTCGGGCCGAATCCGTGTCATCTGGCACCCCCTTCTGCCCCCCCAGCGCCCGTCCTTTCCAAATGTCTGGGCCCCCAGGTCCATGCTGACAAGTTTTGCCGAGATCGTCGGCGCGAGCGTGCGCTGCAGCAGTGCATGGAAACGGGCAACAATCGCTTGGCGGGCTTCTGTGCGGAGGCCGAGTCATTCGGCCTAGACCTACGGTGTGCCCAGGTTCTTTTACATTGCAGTGCTGCTGCCGGCGTCCTGATGCACAGGAGGGGGTACGTTCGAATGAGGGCGGAACTTGTTCAGAGGGTCGTCGCCTCTGGGGGTAAAGCCATCTGCTACTATTCGGAGATCAGGTACGATGAGACTCCAATGAGAACCATGTGTGTCGACGTGGAGGCGTCGATTGAGGTCATCTCTGACCAGTTGTCTTTGGAAGTGGCCGATCACGACCCTGCCGCAGTCGCATATGTTTGCATAGCGCCCCACGTTGCCAAGATAGTCCAGACATTGAGGTCAGAGAATGCGTTGCTTCAACTCTCGAACGGAACGTTCCTGCCCGTCCGCTGCCCCATCCCATGTTGGCTTCATAGTATTTCAGGTGGCAAAGGCGAGAACTATTTCACAGCATTGGCTGCGAGCGAGGTGGCGCCTGAGCTTCCACAGGACGTGTTGGCAGCGTTTGCTCGTCGACAACGGAGTGTCTGCACAGGCGCCGACGGGGCAGTCGACAGCGCAGAGCGAGCAGTGTCTGCAGCGGACAAGGGGCTTGTGGCACTCAAGACGAAGTGCGAGGTCCATAGGGTTTACCATTGGCATGAAAACGTGTTCGATCAGGTCAAATCCGTGGTGAACCGCATGCGGCATGCGTCATATTGCACAAGCCTTGAACGGCCAAGATGCTACGCGGTCGCCCAGGAAAGTTTTACGACGAATAATTGAAGAACGTTTGCTTTATGTGCCCAGTTCTTGTCCGCCACCCTTGCAAGTGCGTCGCAACATCGGCCTCGTGGACATTCTTACCGAAGACCTCTCCCGCCAACATGCTTCGACGTGCATGGTTGATGACATTTTTCGAGTGACAGAAATACACTTAAACAGTACTGTAACGGGTGCTGTGGAAGTGAGGCGCAGCGCAACAAACAAGCAATTGCTGACATGCTTGCTTGTGCTCTGGCGTCGTGTGCTCCCAAGCCTTGGCCTAGGAAGCGGTGGGTTGGAGCTGACGCATCGGCGTCCTGGCTTGGGCTTATGGAGCGTGTGCACGGTTTACTCACCACTGCGTTCTTGGAGCGGTCTGGTACAGCATTGCCCGACGGTGTCGGTGGCGCGGTTGGCCCTCCCCCGTTTCGCGGCGACGACGCCGATGGCGATGAGTTCCCAGGCGATCGCACCGGCAACGGCAAAAATCATGGCACGCACGACCCAGGGAAGGCAGCAGGCGCAGATTCGAACGACAAGAGGACAGAGCAATCGAAACGCAAGTTTTTCGGCGTCAAGTGGCTGCAGCAGATTTTTGGTCATGCCCTCGGCACGTTCCTCATGGTATCGAATGTGCTGGTCCCCCTCGCACACATCGTGGACAACTGCTTGAAAGCTGGCTCCGAAAGTCGGGGCCAACACGTGGAACTAGAGGGTCTTCTCGGCGTACCTGGTGGCGGCATTGCGGGGGGCCGCCACGCGCTGCTGGCAGCGGAGTGCAAGTTCGAGAACCAATGCTTTGACGAGCTCGTGGGCATAATGGTAAATCCTGCTCAATGGCACCTCATGCCAGCTACTTGCAGGAGCGTTGCTTATCGGGCGCGTGCTTTTACAATGCGTTCTATGCTGGGTTGCCAAAGCCATGGGCTTATGGTTGCTCACGGACAGTATCCTTGGAAGCTCTTCTTATTGCTGCGACCTGAACGGCGTGATAGTGTAAGTGCCGAGATCACGTCGGATTGCAAGCGCATGATGGACCCTTGGAGTGTTGCGATTGCGGATTCATATTGGGAGTCAGAACATGGGTTGGCTGATCCCGCTTGCTTGGCCGAAATCGCCGCCACTGCGGAGTTGCTGCAGCGGGGGGCCATCCGCGTCGAGGCGAAGCGCGCTGCGATTCGCCGAGTGCTGCACCAACACTCAGTTCAAACCCACGCTGTGCTGTTCGCTCACATGTCGGCCCGCAGAACCTGCAGGGAGTTTCGGCGCATGCGTGCTGAGCGCCGCCGGCGACGCAGGGGGGGTCCGGGTGCAGCAAACGATCCCGCTCCTTCATCCACGGAGCCCCTGGTGGAGCCGCCCGAGAAGAAAGCCAGCTCTTACGGAGGAGCCTGGGGGTTATTTTTTCCGAGAGGAGACGTTGGGCACCGACCGGCTTGGAGACGTGACGCGGTGGTCGGAGAAGTACCGTGCGCTCAGTGCTGGGGAGTGCGGGCGTCTCGTTGCACATGGCAGAGAAGGGGCTCGACGTCGACGGGCTGGGGGCGCGACTACTTTCGGCGATGCCACTCGGGGGGAACGACGGAAGCAAGAAAAGCGACAGCGAGACGTCGCAGTACAGAGACTGGTACAAGCAACGCGCCAACGTTGTAGCATCCCTGACGTTGTCGGCTCAGAGATCGTTGCCTTCTGCCGTGTTCCGCCCCGCCATGAAGACGACCTCCATGAGCAGCGCCCTCGGCGACCCATGACCTACCTGCTTGATCTGAAGTATAAGGTGAGGCTGGTGTCTGACGCTCTGAGGATTGCAGATCGCCAGGGCGAAGAATACCGATTCGAACGCATCAGGGATGGTGCTGCTACGGTCGCACATTTATCTGAGGTCGCGTCCGAGATCTGCGCGCGTTCCATTGACTTTGCGGCGGTCACGCGCCCCGAGGCGATCCTTGGAGTCTTACGCTGGAGTTCAGGAGACCTGTCGCTGAGGGGGCAGCGCGCTCTGCCGCCGCAAATGCGCGGGGCCCCTGCGCGGTTAGCCAGGGCGCTGCTGGACGCGCGGGCCAGACTGCACCAGATCATCGATTTCACCGACATCCCGATCTTCGACGAGGTTGGCCAAGGGGCCCCGGCGGACTGCGCCGAGGCTGGCATGTGCCTGCGCGGCGCGCGTGGCAAGGTCATGGAGTCTTTCCAAGCCAAGCTCGAAAAGCTTATGAAGCAACAATGCCCTGCTAAGCCCACTTGGCGGGGCAAGCTCGTCAGCGCCGAATTGGTTATCTTGCCCATCGGGCAGTCCAAGCCAGAAGAGGTGGACAGGGAGCTAGCATGGGCCGACAGCTTAGTACCTGGGGCACCAATTCAAGAAGTGAGGTTCTTCCACATTGGCTATCATTTGCTGAGCCCTTGGAGAGCAGTTAACCATGAGATGAGCGGCCCCGAGATCGTTGATGCGTCCTTGCCGTTGCCTGGTCACGTGAGTCTGCAAGGGGCCCGCATGTTTTTCACGAGGTGGGAGCTCGTTGGTTCCTTGGACTTTGAGTTGTGATGGAGCTGTTCGCTTTATTCTACAATATTTACGGTGTCTCCAGTGGGAGAGTTCTTGCCTGATGGCCTTGTTTCTCAACTTGTCGAGGCGTCTCTTCGGCTGGTGTGGTGCCCCTGGTGCCCGAAGCCTCGCCGCCGTGCATGTGGGAAACGAGATGGGTTGCTGCAGAGTTGGGGTGATGACGATGGAGGCGATCCTGATGACGAGGGTGGCGCCGAGGACCCGCTGGCCATGCAGGACGAGGGTGGTGATGAAGGCCCATGCGACGAGGCTGGTCAAGATGACTTATTTGAAGATGCTGACGTGCACTGTCCTGAATTTGTCAACGGCCAGCCGCCTGACTGCGAGGGTCAAGACATCCGCGTGGACCTGGTGGAGTTTGCCGAGTACGAGCCTGGTGGGGGTACGGGTGCCTGCTCCGTCGGCGACATTATCGACGGAATTCTCGTTCGAGAGCCCCTCGCTCTCGCTGAGCCTGAACATGACCATGATCCCGATGCTGTTCTTCCTGCTGGAGCGGTGCTCCGGCCAGGGGCATCATCGAGTTCGCGTGCGCCCGTTGCGGCGCCAGAAGGTCCACCTCCTCCGCCGCCGCCTCCTCACGGCGAGCTGCCCGCGCCGAGATCATTCGTTGTTCACGTCGGGTCTGGCGCGCTTACTTGGTGCAGATCGAGCGGCGACTTTGTTGCTAATTGCCGTGCCGAAGGGCGCGGCAGGGCAGGCCAATGCAGGAGGAGCAAGACGTCTTATGCGACCCTCGAGCGTCCTGCCCAAGGACGGCCCTGCGGTTTCTTAGCCGCGTGGTTGCTGGCTGGTGCCAATGGTGACTATATGGATAACCGCGCGCACAAGCAGGACTTCGAGTGCACTTGGAGAAAGAGAGGGGCGACGCCAGAGAAGTGCGGAAGGGCCTCCCAAATGGGGCCCTCCTTCTTTCGCAGGAGAGGCGTGAGCGAGGGGGGGGGGGGGGGGCGATGAGCCACGTGGGTTGCCATAGGGTTGACCGGGGCAGGTTTTAACAACGCGCATAATGTTTCATCGTGCACAGCTTCGCTGGCTTTGCCTCCTGAATCAGTTCAGCTTCGCTGCTTCCTTTTAGTCTCAGCTTCGCTGATGGCGCGCCTGGTAGGGGGGGGGCGGGGGAGGGGGGGGGGGGCGGGGGGCAGGAAGGGCGGCAACTGGGGCAGCGGGGGGCGGGCGGGGGCAGCGGGGGCGGGATGGGGTCAAGGAGGAAGGTGGACGGAGCGGGGGGGGTCGTTTTAATGCGTTTCAGCGCAACGACAACGGGGGCCAAACTCAACAACAAGTTGTGGATTTTTACCAAGTGGCATTCTTGTCGACGGCCCTCTGGGGCCAGGCTCTGGGCTCCATGAGGGCGCGCCTGAAGGCTATCCTGGGGAAAGGGCCTGCTGGCCTTTCAGTTAGGTTGCTAAGGGTGCGTGCGTGCGCCTGGGTCCTGCTAGACGGGGGGCGGATTGTTTCGGCGTTCCCGGTCTTTCTTGGGGGGGGGGGGGGGGTGGGGGGGGAGGCAAAGATAAACCCGCGGTGGGCATGAGATAAACCTGCGGACGCCTAAGATAAACCCGCCGTGGGCCTCAGCTAAACCGAGGGGGGGCTAAGGTAATCCGCGGGGGCCCGCGGCAAACCTGCAGGTGCCTAAGATGGGGGGGGGGGGGGGCGGGCGGGGGGGGGGGGGGGGGGGGGGGCGTGGTGGTGGTGGTGGTGGTGGCGGTGGTGGTGGTGGGCGGTGGTGGTCGCGGTGGTGGTGGTGGGGATAAACCCGCGGGGTCCTAAGACAAACCCGCGGGGGCCTAAGATAAGCGAGGGGGGGGGGGGGGGGGCTAAGATAAACCCGCGGGGGCCTAACGTAAACCGGCGGGGGCCTAAGGTGACCTCCCAGGGGTCTAGGAAACCTGCGGGGGGGCTAAGATAAACCCGCGGACGCCTAAGATAAACCCGTGGGGGGCCTAAGATAAGCCCGCGGGGGGTTAATGCAAGCCCGCGGGGGTCTAAGATAAACCCGCAAGGAGCTGAGATAAACCCGCGGGGGCCTAAGATAAACCCGCGGGGTGGTGTGTGTGTGTGTGTGTGTGTGTATGTGTGTGCGTGCGTGCGTGCGTGCGTGCGTGCGTGCGTGCGTGCGTGCGTGCGGGCGGGCGTGGCGTGGTGTGGTGTGGTGTGGTGTGGTGGTGTGTGTGGTGTGGTGTGGTGTGGTGTGGTGTGGTGTGGTGTGGTGTGGTGTGGTGTGGTGTGTGTGTGGTGTGGTGTGGTGTGGTGTGGTGTGGTGTGGTGTGGTGTGGTGTGGTGTGGTGTGGTGTGGTGTGGTGTGGTGTGGTGTGGTGTGGTGTGTGTGTGTGTGTGTGTGTGTGTGTGTGTGTGTGTGTGCGTGTGTGGTGGCGGTGGTGGTGGGCGGGTGGGGTGGGGGGGTGGGGTGGGGGGTGGGGGCTAAGATGAATCCGCGGGGGCCTCATGCCATGGGCGCATGCGCGCATGTAGCACGCGCGCGCAGCAGCACCCATACCATGGAGACCTACACGCAGACAGCACATGCACAGAGACAGCACATGCACACAGCAGCACACGGCACACATGGACACATCCACCGCTCATGCCATGGACACATACAGCGCAGAACGCACATGAACAACATGGGCCCTGGCCTAATCCTCAGCCGCGGGTCCACGAGCAATCACGATGGTATTCCAGACGCCTCAACCTCCAACTCCTCCAATGCCTTCCTTGCGGCAGCCATTCAGACTCACTCGCGATTCTGGATTCTGGGTTCGGGCTCCGCAGTTCAGAAGGCGCTCGAGATGGCCCGTCGCGACGAGGTGGTTCCTTCCGAGGCGGTGCGCCCGATCCCGAGGAGGCGTTGGCGGCGCTTGATCTTGCAGCTGAGACTGGCGAAGAACGGAAACAAGTTTCTCCGCCGCCGCGTCAAGTCTTTCCGCGCGTCCACAGAGAATCTGAGGCACATCTCAGATGCCATGTTGACTGAAGATGAGAATGGGGCAGGGGCGGGCCATATTGAAGCAAGGGCGACCAAGCATAACCATCTGGGCGACGATGCGGGCTGAGATCTGCCTCGCAGCACGTGCCCAGGGTGAGGAGTGGGGAGGAGGAGCGGAATAGAGGAACAGAGGAAGGATGAGAAGAGGAGAAGGGAGCCAGGACGAGGAGGGAGGAGGAGGGAGGAGGAGGAGGCCGAGGAGGAGGGGGGGAGGAGGATGAGGAGGAGGAAGAGGGGCCAGGCGAGACGAGCTCTTGAGCTTAGCCCTGCCGCGCGACAATGCAGCTTTCTGGTTCCTTACCCCTCTCGGGGGTCTTGCCGCCGCCCCTTCTCATTCATAGCCCCAGTCGGGGAGTCCGCTCGACCCCTCCCTGACGGCAACAACCCGGCGGTTCGCGCGCAGCGCAGCGCAGGGCCCCCCAGGGGGAGCCCTCGAAACGTTTGTACTGCGTTATGGCCACGGCTCGGGCGCTGCATGTTCGAAGTTGGGTTCTTATTCCAGTTTGGCACCAGCGCGTGTTTAATTTCCAGGAGCTACAAGGATGGAGGGCAGCTTCTTAGCTTGCACCCCCTTTCCGCCCGCATGTCAGGCCCATTTTTTCATTATTCCTCCAGGGTGCGATCCCGCAGTGCAGAGAACTAGTTCTAGCATTCAAAGTGCTTCACTTTTGCATGGCATCATAGTTGATGCTCAGTTTTGAGGACTCATGATGCGTGCGTCTTGGTGCATCATGATCAGGGGCAGGATTGCGCGCATCATGTTCGCCGCGCGTTTGCTTGCCATGCCAATTAATTCCTCCCCCTGCCCCCCCGCCCCCAGGTTGCGACCGTAGACTTGGACGCCAACAGGGCGCCAGCCAGCATGCAGTCTGCGAGTTGGCTTGGCCGCCGCCGTCGCTGCGGCCTCTCTGGTTTACCATGTTCAGGAGCAGAACCAACTGTGCAGCATGTTCACCGCGCGGCTTTGCTTGCCTTAGCCCACCACCACCAAGACCCTTGAGCCCTACTCTAGCCCTACCATTCCAGCCTGCTACCAAGCAGGTATGCAGCAGGTAGCCTGCATGACACCCGCCTGCTCCGCAGCTATCGCAGAGTTTACCAACAGGTGGGCGCCCGCCCAAGCAAGTACTTTGCAAGTACTTTGAATTCGTCCAACATGTACTTATCATGTACTTAGCAGGTACTTCGCAGGTACTTCGCAGGTACCCCGCAGGCGCCGCTGGTACTTCGCAGGTGCTTCGCAGGTACTTCGCATTCGCCGCAGGTGCCCAGCAGGTACTTCGCAGGTACTTCGCAGGTACCCGGCAGCAGGTACCGCGCATGTACTTAGCAGGTGCATCGCAGGTACTTTGCAGGTACCGCAGGTACTTAGCAGGTGCTTTGCAAGTACTTCGCAGGTACCCCGCAGGCGCCGCAGGTACTTCGCAGGTACTCCGCAGGTACTTCGCAGGTGCTTCGCATTCGCCGCAGGTACCCGACAGGTACTTCGCAGGTACCTCGCTGGCGCCGCCAGTACCCAGCAGGTGTCCAGCAAGTACATATCAGGTACTTCGCAAGTATCCAGCAGGTACTTAACAAGTATTTGTTTTGCGTCCCATGCGCGCTCGCAGTCCCCCCCCCCCCCCCCCCCCCGCACCCCCCAACTCTACCTCGGCGCCAGTGGGGGGGTGGGGTGGCCCGTCCCCAGCCCAGGCCGCCTGCGGCTGCAGGTGATGCAGCATGGTGGGGCACCATTACCTGTGGCGCTGGGGGGAGGGGGCTGTGCCTGGCTGCCACCGTCTTATTTGAGGAGGCCAAGCCAATTCGGCTGGCCGCTGGCGACCTTGCCCTCGTCGGCGCACGGTGCATTGGTGAGGCAGCACGTCAGATCGGGCGCGGCCCCTGGTCGGCGGGCCGCGCAGCTGGGGGCGCTGGGGCGGGGGCGCGAGCAATTTTCCTACAGTATTGTTTTCCTGGGGGCCGATCGTGTCTCCGCTATGAGGGAGGTCGATTCGGTCCCCGCTATGAAGGGCGGTCGATTGAGTCCCCGCAGCGAGGGCGGGTCGATTCGGTCCCCGCTATGGCGGGGGGGGGGGGGGGGTCGATGAGGTCCCCGCTATGAGGGGGGGTTGGGTCGCCGCTATGAAAAAAAATGGGTCGATGAGGTCCCCGCTATGAGGGGGGCGGGGTCGACTAGGTCTCGCTCGGAGGGGGGGTACGGTCCCCGCTGCGAAGGGGGGTCGATTAGGTCCACGCTATGAGGGGGGGGGGGGGGGGTCGATTAGGTCCCCGCTGTGAAGGGGGGCCGATTGGGTCCCCGCTATGAAGGGGGTCGATTCGGTCCCCGCTATGAGAGGGGGTCGATTAAGTTAAGTCTCCGCTATGGGGGGAGGTAGGTTAAGTCCCCGCTATGAGGGGGGTCGATTAAGTCACCGCTACGAGGGGGGGGGGGGGGGGTCGATTGCGTCCCCGATATGAGGGAGAGGGGGGTGTCGATGAGGTTGCGCTATGAGCGGGATCGATTATCTACACGCTATGACGTGGAGGTCGATTAGAAAGGGTCGATCAGGTCCCCGCTATGAGGCGTGTGGGGGGGGGGGGGGGGGGTCGATTCAGTTCCCGCTATGAGGGGAGGTCGATTAAGTCCCCACGATGAGGGGGGTGCGATCAAGTTCCCGCCGCAGGGGGGATGGGTCGATTTGGCACCCGCAATGAGGCGGTCGATTAGGTCAACTCGATCGAAGGCTCCAGTGGCACCGCCCGCATGTGTCTCCCCATCCCATGACGGCGCGCCCCTCGCGCGTCTCGTGGCCCACCGTGCTTTATGGATGGTGCGCCCTAGGCCGCGCCCTGCTTAGCGCCCTGAAGTGGGCGGCCCTGCGCCCTGGGCCCAGGGCCTTGATCCCGAGGCCGTAACCCTAATCATGTAATTCTCTCCCTCTGGCTTCAGCCCGAAGCTTTGAACCGTGACATTAATTTCATAGCCTTGTCCATATTTGGGGCTTACGGCAGGGCCCACTTACAATCACTAGTGCGGCTTTGCGAAGTTGTTCAATGCGCCTCATGCCCCCCATCGCGGGGGCCGGACGATTCGATTTCCACGAACTAAACAGGTGCGGTTCTGGCTTAGGGCCTTAGGCGTCCTGGGTGTTTCTGGGCCTTGGGCGTCTTGGGACGTTTTGGGACCTTAGGCGTCTTGGCTTTTGTTGGGCTTAGGCGTCTTGGGGTGTTTTGGGGCCTCAGGGGTCTTGGCTGTATTGGGTCCGTAGGCGTCTCGGGGTTTCTTGGTGCTTTACGTGATTGTATTCTTGTCGATCGTGATGGGGGCACATGCATGGGCGCGCACGTTCAGTCGAATGCACGCATGCATAGCATCATTGCACATTGTATACCGTTGCCGTATGTGTTAAGCCATCCACCTTTGCTACTACTGCCTTCTGTCTCATAGTTGGACTTTCCAGGTCTGTCTTTTTTGCCCGTGGATGGCCGGGGAACCGAGGATCACTGTGGGCAGAGGTGGCTTACATCTTCTTGTGACTTTGCCAGACCGGGATGAAAACAATACAGCCACACGTGCGACATGAACGTCCCATTTTCAGTGCACTTGGTAGGCGCGAGGCCTGTTTCAGTTTCAGACGAAAGCGGTCTGGTGGTTCTGAGCGGTGAAGGCCTTGCGGCTCCTGTCCATGCACCTGCAAGGATGGCCCCTGACACCCCGGAGGATTCTGCCCCACAACTTGACGAACATCTAGTCGAGAGCCAATGGAAAGTCGAGGCTCGTGAGGTATCCGTGCTTCAGGCAGCCCGTGGGATTGGTCAGGCAGGCCCCGTCGAAGTTCCTGCGCCCGTGCCCGAGGCAGCCCGTGAGGGCGATCAGGGAGGCCCCATTGGAGTTCCTGTGCCCGCACTCCTTAATGGGCCGCAGCCTCAGACCCCTTGGCCCCCCAAGTTGAGTCGTCAGCCGCTTGGGTTTCCCTTGGGAGGTTACAGTGTTGCGATCGACATAGCGGACAGCCCTCCCAGGAAGGCCACTGCAGCAGGTGAAGTCGCGGAGGATTCGGGTTCCAATGGTTTTAGGATTGAGCCTCCAGCGCCCCCTCCGAGGCGCCTGGAGGACGGCTTCGATTCCGCTTCTGCCGTGAAGCGGGGCGCGGGCGAAGAAGCGGAAGCACGTGCAGCGAAACGCAGGTCGCTCACGCCGCTCCAGCCCCAGCCTCGCGTTAAGGCGCGCGCCCCGCCTCCCGCTAAGTCATCCAATTTTGGTGATGAGGCTCACCCCGCAGCGCGGCCGCTCTTCTTGGATGATTCGGCTTCAGTCCCTTTCGCCATGTGCGGCCGGCAGCTTGAGAACCCTTCCCAGGTCCTTGCCGAGCTTTCGCAGTCCGCTACACAAGCTCATCAATGAACATAGGCCTTTAAGCTTCCGTGCCAGCAGGGGGAGAGCATGAGCAGGAACAATATAGGAGCTGAGGTGTGAGTCACTCAGCGTTATGTTTGTATGCTGGCTGTCTGTGTGCCAAGGAGGACGCGCCGTGGAGCTCGAGGCCAGATCTTCAGTTTAGTAAGGTCTGAACCGTGAGCTCGAGGTCATACTTTCAATTTGATCAGGCTTTGGGCGCGAAGGCGCCGACTGCCGCGAGGTCTTTGAGCGTGGTGCTTAAGCGCGAAGGCGCCTAAGGCCAGGCCTCGCAGTCCGATTGGTTGCGCATCGACGGTTGATTGGCGTCGCGCAGCGGCGTGAGCGACAACCAGAATACGCCTACCTCCATCAGCGACTCCCCCTCCACCTCCGTCAGCTCTTGGGGCCTCGATTGGCGTTCTCGGGGCCTCCTTCTTGGGGCAGTTGGGCCGTCGGCGTCTTGGGTGTGTAGGAGCCTTAGGCGTCTTGGGGTGTCTTGGGGGCTTCGGTTTCTTGGGTGTCGTGTCGAGGGGCCAGAGGGGTCTTGGGGCCCGACCTCGTGCTGGTGTTCTGGGTGCCTTAGGCGTCTTAAGATTCTGGTGCCTTTAGGCGTCCAAGGGTGTCTTGGGGCCCGATGCCAGGCCCAGTGTCTGGAGTCCACTAGGCGTCTTGGTGTGTCTTGGGGCCTTGGGCGGTTTGAGGTGGCTTAGGGGCCTAGGCCTCTTGGGCCAGTATTGAGGCCGTAGGGGTCTTTGGGCCCAGGGGCCACGCGAGTATGGTAACGCTGGGACCCTAGCTACCCAGAGCTAGGACAACCCAAAGGGGTGCTGGGAGTAAGGCAATTCTCAGACCAAAGTAGCTTCTAGGACTAAGGCAACTCTTGGACCAAAGGGGCCTTGGAGCCAATGGAATCTTGGGGCCAACGCATTCCTCCAGGAATTACCGTACCCCTGGCACTCCTGAGGCAGCTCTAGCGTGGTCGGACTTGAGGCGTCGCTTGAGCATCACTGAAGAGAGCCGGTTTGATGTTTCCCGCTTGGTCACGTTGCTGCGAATTCCCCGGCGCATTCGGGCGCCCCCCTGAAACGCCCTTGGTTGCAGATGGGAAGTCCGCCCAGTGCACGGCCCAGCGTTTCTCTCTCACTGGGGCCGTGCTATACTCACGCCTCGAACCGCTTCCCACTCCAAATGCCTATGCCCTTGCTCTGCTTCGCCTCTCATGTCATCCGTCGCAGAGTTTGGCTGAGCTGGCTACGGTTTTCGAAGTCAGGTGCCCGCCTACACTAAAAGGCTGTCCAGACACTTGCAGAGCTGCAGAACGCAGCGCGCCATGGCTGGGAAGAAGAAGCCAGACCACCCGCCAGTTTCTTCGAAGAGACCTACGAAGCAACCGCGCTTGTCTGCTGATGCCCTCGCACGGCACAACGGCGGCGCCACTGGGTCTGCAGGCTCCGCTGTCCCTGCGGCCTCAGTGGCCACATCCAAGGTGAGCATCGTGGCCAAGTGCTTGGATTGTGACGCTGTCCCGTCGGCTACGTCGAAGTTTCCAGCTGGAGTGACTGATGCTTGCTTGATCCACCGGGAGCTCTACTGCGGCGGCTTCACGACCTACGGCAGCTGGGAAGAGTTCATCTCGTAGAAGGAGAAGGACACCACCATCCAGCATGCGTGGGACAGCGCTGAGGAGTCGAAGAGGAGCGGCGAGAAGCAGCGGCTGCCCACGGAGGTCTTGCAGACCAGGTGCTGCTCGTGCGAAGTGACGGAGAGCAATGCGGGCCCCAGTCGATCCCAGCTGAAGCATATGTTGTCCATCTCTCCCGAGCGCATTGGCGTCGAGATGCAAGATCTCGTGGGCGTCAACAACACCTCGTACAAGGGGCTGTTGATCCCGAGCCCCGCGAGGCCGTTCATGGAGTTCAACTTCGCCAAAAGGATTGGCGTCGACAAGAGTGCCAGAGCTATGTCGGGTGATGACCAGATGTACGAGCAACATGCCGATGTCGTGTCTGAGTACGTTCAAGGCCGAGTTGATGAAAGAGAAAGAAGTCAAGGACGCAGCGGTCAAGATGAGGACGGCGCCGTGGGACCTCGCCGACTTAGTCAAGAAGTCTTGCGAAGTGCGTGGGGTCCCTGTTGACCCGATGAACTGCAGCCCCATGGCTGCTATGTTGATGGGTGAGTTGGGCACCTTGGACGCTGGCGGAGCTCCGAAGGCTGTTGCCATGGCCACTCGCGGGGCAGGACCTCAGGACGTGGCCAACTTGAACGACGCCGCAGAAGCCGACGAGGATGAAGAGTCAGAGCTCGGGCCAGAGGAGGCGGCAGAGGCGGGGGGGGGCAGGTGGGGCAGCCAGGGCGCCCAACCTCAATCGCCGCGCTGCGCTGGATAGCATGTCGGCCATTGCGACCCCTGTTGCGAAGAAGGCCGCCTGGACTGCTAGGTCTGACGTGGCCTGCGAAGACGCGGCGAGCGCCATCTCTCCGAGTGCGGTGGGTAAGGGCGGCAGTGCAAGCAAGCGGGTGCGCATGGAGGATGGCTTGCCCGTTATCGATGCCGGTGCAGACGACCTCGTGCATAGGAAGATCAGCGCTTACAGCATCGAGAAGATCATGCTCAACGAGAACATGGGCCGCGAGAGGCGTTGGTGCAGCGACTCCCGCGATCTCTTCCAGCGCAGGGGGGGGAACAGGGCCGATGCGTTGCAAAAGCACTTGGACCTCGCGAAGCACGCCGAGAACTTGGTTGGCGGCTCCATCTCAGAGATGTCCGGCATGCTGGTGACCACTGTGAAGGAGCTCCAAGACGGTGGTGCGTTCATCCCAAACGTTCTGAGGTTCCAGCTGCAGAACAAGCATTCCGACATCTACTTGGCCGACGCCGTGAAGTCTTACGACGCATCTAAGTTCTTTACTTCCATCGTGCCTTGGGTCGGGCCAGAGAAGGTTTTTGATGGGAACAATCCTCAGCTTTGCCTGCTGGACTGCTCGACCGATGAGAAGATCGAGCATTTCGAGTCGATGATTGAGAAGCTCTTCGTTGCCGTCGTGAAGCTTGGCGAGTCTTGCAAGCAAGGCGTGGTGGATATCTCGGACAAGTGCTTCTCATATTGCGCCCTCGTCGTGGATCGGGACGACTGCGATGACTTCGACAAGACGGTGACGGACGTGGAGTTGACTTCGAAGGCCCTCAAAGCGCTGGTGCTCGCTACGTTCGTGCCTGGGCATGCGGACCTGAATCGCGTGATTGCCCTGGCCGCCAGCAAGGACAGGACATATAAGAAGCGCGCGCCATGCAAAGTTCACCAATCTCTGAAGTTCATGCAGTACTACGATGCGTTGCTGAAGGAGTTCAGGTCGAAACAAAAGTTCACCCGAGAGTCTTGGCCAGTCTTCCTGCGAACGAGATGGAGCTCTGCAAGGATGCAGCTGCCGCAGGGAGGGGCGGACTTCTCGGACACATGCTGACCCAGATGGCCAATGTAATCACTAAGTGCAGGACGGGAACGTTCGAGCACCTTGTCGAGCTGCTGACAGAGTCACTCGAGGAGTTCATTCGGTCCCTGAAGATCGCGAACCCGAACACCGCCGACGGCGACGCCTACAAGAAGCTCGCGTTGGCAGAGCAGTGCCTGAAGCAGGCGCAAGTCGTTCTACCGAAAAAAAACATCGAGATTTGGGAGTCGCACATCAGGGCTGGCGAGACATGCATGACCTTGATCGGCAAGGCCGGCTACGCGAATGCCTTTGTCGAGGTCCTCGGGGAGAATGCCCAGCTGGAGTCGGGGAATGTGTCGACGGGCGCTGCGCGGATGGTCGACCGCGCGCTGAAGGACGCCATCCAGGCGGGCTCGGGGATCGAGGGCCCGCCATGGACAAGCTCGAGAAGTTCATTGGGGCTGACAACAGCGAGAGTCCAAATGCTGCGGATGATGGGAGGAGGTTTGCCGGTGCGGGGGGGGGCCGATGGTCAGGCGGTGAAGGGGGGCTCCAAGGGGCGCGAGTGTGAGCAGCATTAGGTATCTCGTTGAGGTTGCCTTCGGCTACGCCAGGGAGACACCCGATGCAACACCAGAGAGCCTCGATCCGATCCTGCAGCTTGCCACGGCGGTCAAGGACATGCCCGTGACAGAGTCTCGCCAGACATTGTCGGCTTCCCTCGACAGGTTCGCCATGACGGCATGGAGTGCCCCTTTCCAGTTTGGCCACAGGTTCATCATTGCCATGACGGCATGGAGTGCTGCCCTTTCCAGTTTGGCCAAGTTCGAGGCGGGCGGGCCCGACCTTGCTTCGAGGATTTCGGCGGTGAACCCGGTCGTCGAGATCAAAGCGCCGCTGAGTGACCGAGCTCTTCTACTTCATCGTGTCGGCGATGGCCCCGCTCCGTGCATGGCCATGGGCGCGTTCATCGAGATGCTGGGCAAGACGGTGGGCGATCTCAAAGCCGAGTATCTGAAAGGCGTGACGACTGTTATGCAGGCAGCTAACGAGAAGCCCCGTGGCAGTGCCGACGGTGGACATGGAGATGAGCGTAATTTCTGGACCGACAAAATCCCAGAGGGCAAGGCCAACGACTTCGACGTGGCGCGGTCGATCTTCGTGGACGCCATCGCGGGGATTGACGGCGACTTATTCTCCGTGAAGCGGAGTGCCCTCCAGAAGTCCCAGATGGAAGTGCAAGTGGCCTACAATCTCTTTTCAGCGCGTGTCCCAGATGAGTTCTTCAAGGAACCCAGCGAGACTGTGGGATTGGCGAGTGTCACGAGGGCGACGGCTAAGGCACTGCACGGCTGGGGCGCCTACTCCAAGGACCAGAACGACGTCGAGCTGAAGAGGGAGTTCCGCAAGATCTTAAACACATTGACGGACCACGAGCTCGGTAACATCGTCGGCGGTATGCAGCCTTCTTTGCGGAAGTGGGCATGCGAGAAGGCGGGGGTGCAGGAGTAGTCAGGTGTACTGTGTACTTGAAAGACAGCGGCCGCCAGCAGGCGAAGCCACTGTTGAAAAAAGAGAGCAAGGGGAGGGGTGGGACGGGGGGAAACGAAAGGGGAGTGGAGGGAAAGGCAATGGAGCTATGTTGGAGGGCTCTTCGACCATCTTGGGGGCCTCTTGGGGGTCAATCTAGGGCCACCTTGAGATCATATTAGGCCTTCTTGGGTACATTTTGGGCCGTCTTGGAGACATCTAGCTGCCATCCTGGGCCTTCTTGGGCCTTCCTGGCGTCTTGGAGGCGATCTTGGGCGTATTGGAGGCCTATTAGGTCGTCATTGGGCCCCGTATTGAAGCCTCGTGTGCAATCTTTGGGGCCAATTCCGCACCCGAGTGCCAGTGGTTTGTGCAGCAGTGCATATTATTGCATTGCGCCGTGCCTTGCCAGTGTCATCTTACAGCTAACCAGTATCCGAACGACTACTTGTAGCGTCATCCTACAGCTGGCCAATATCCGAACGACTACTTTTCAGCTATCTCCATTCGTATCCCATTATGATCGGAGAATCGGCGACTACTTTTAGGGTACCCATTGTTCCTTGCCCTTGCGGCGCTGATGCTGAACAGGTATTCTGCAAGTATCTAGTTTCCTATCTCCGTTTCTATCTAGCAGGTAATTCTAGGAGTTTTGCATCTAATGGGTTCTCCAGAGACATGCGTCTCATGAGGCCATCTGGGGCCGTCTTGGAGGGTTTGTTGCGGTCGTTGAGGTCCTTTTTTTCGCGTGGCCGGCGGGGCGGGCCGCCGCCCCGGGGGCCTTCTTTTGGGAAAGGGACCAGAACCAGAGGCGAGAGGATTCAGCGCGCCAGGCACCTCTGCGATGAATCAACAGGGGGCGGCGGATCTTCGGCCGTGCAGGAGGACCTCGTGGAGGCTCTGGGACTGTCTTGGAACCGTCGTGGGACAAACTTGGGCCATCTTCGGCTCCCATGGGGATATCTTGGCCGTCTTGGAGGCCATCTCGGCCGTCTTGGAGCTCATCTTGGTGGTCTTGAGGCATCTTGGAGGCCATCTCGGGCGTCCTGGGGGCCTTGGGCCGTCTTGGGGCCCTCTTGGGGCTGGCTTGGGGGCCTCTTGGGCCGTTCTGGAGCCATCTCGGAGGCCGCTGGGGCGATTCAAGGGACTCCTTGGATTGGCCTGGGCGGTCGGAGCACTGGGGTGGAGGGGGAACCAGCGTCTTTCAACAACCGGAGGGGGATCAATAATTTTGCCCCCCCCCGGGCCTTCCAGGAAAACCTCCTGGATTCCTCTGGGGCTATGGGAAGCCTCTCGGGCCCATCCTGGGCCATCTCGGCCGTCTTAGCGGGCGTCTTGGCTGTCTTGGAGGCCATCTTGTCCGTCTCGGAGGCATCTTGGATGTTATCTTGCCCGTCTTGGAGGCCATCTTGGGCGTCTTGGAGGCCATTTGGGCCGTCTTGGGGCCCTCTTTGGACCGTCTTGGAGGCCTCCTGGGCCGCGGCGTGGCCATCTTGGAGGCCTCTTTGGCGCTGTGGGGCCGACCTTTCCGCCTTGTAGAGCCGTCGTGGGCCGCCGGGCGGCTGGGAAATAGCGAAAGTGCGCCAGTGGACCACCCAGTGATTTAAAAAGGGGGTGGGGGTGAGATTTTCGCCCCCCCCCCCCCCCCCCCCCCCCCCCCCGTTCCCCCCTTTTCCCCGTGTGGGGGGGGGGGGGTCCGAACCCGCCCCCTTCCCCTTTGGGGGGGGGGGGGGGATTTGAGATTATCATTATACAGACCTTGCTAGGCATGTTGTAGTGCACGCAGGAGATCGCGCTCTGTGGCCGACATCTAATGCCATGTGTGCACTGTCGTTCGCGCGCTGGCTCAAGCCACCTGAGCAGTGACACATATCCATGTTCATTGCCATTAGTTCATATAGCTTTCGCTTAACGAATGCAACAACTCCCGGTTTCAGGACTTGCATCGGAATCTGGAGTTTGGTAGCGGAGCCAGTCGACCCCCTACCGTCTGACTCAAACTGCGCCGCAGGACGCGCGACGTCTGCTGAGACTGCGGCGCCTTCTTGATTGTCATGATTTGGTTTCGTTTGAGAACGGCGCTGCGCTGTATTTCAATAATGATATCGTCGGACAGAGAAGTTGTATACTGTGCAGTCTATGTTACGAAGTTCGGTTTCAAAGATGTCGGCTCACCCCAGACAGCCCCCCCCCCCCCTCTGTCTCTCAAGCAGTGTTCCAAGGACATGCCGCCTGGCTGGCAACCACGCGCCTATTCTTTTCGTGAGTGTCTAGAATCACTGGAGATATGGAGTCGCCTAACGCGTTTAGGACAGGACCACCTCGGGGCAGCAGTAGTGAGCAGATTGGAAAGGGCCCGCACTCAGAGCAGCGCAGGATCTACGCGTCAAGCGATTGGATCAAGCAGGCGATGTTGTGAATTATCGAGGCATGGATGCGGTCAGTCTTCCACGAGTACCAGCCGTCATTGATCTGGGAGTTGAGAATGCTCCTGCGCAGCATAGCGGCATCGAGCCCCTCTGACTGGCCAGCTTTTTTGAAACGTGCGGATTGGATGATCCAGATCAGGCCCGGGCTCCATTGGATCGATTCTTCACGTTGCGCCAGGGGCCGAAACGAGATTTTATATCATGCCTGTTCGATTGTGAACAACTGCGAAGAAGCTGAGTGATGCGGAGGGTTGCACATGGGTGAGTCAGCCAAAGCGTGGCTTTCCTGGTCAAGAACGACGTCTTTTGATAGAGTGTTTTCGGACCTGCGTTTGAAGTTAATGGAGATCTCAACAGATGACGCGACATGGTTCAGCTGCATTTGGAAGTGAGTAAGAATGAGTTGGCATCGAATGAGCAGCGCGCAGGCTAGAATATCTTCTACGAGAATCCCCATTCTTGGCCAGGAGTTTTCGAGTACGATTACGATGTTTACCGTGGCGACTATCCGGGCTACTGCGACGAATGGTACGACGAAGACCAGTAGCAAGAGGACGATGATTGGTATGGCAACGGCGGAGATCGAGGCGGACCAGGAGAAGCAGTGCCAACATCGGGAGAATCATCATCGCCCATGCCAACGCCGTCGATACCAGAAGAGGACTATTGGCATAGTGGGCGCGGCAAAGGATCAGGTAACAGAGGAAAAGGTAAGGGCGACAAAGGCGGCAAAGGCGGTCAGAAACGACGAGGGACCAATGCACCACATGCGGCCCGCATGCCCGTTCAAAGACGGCCAGAACGGCGACAGCACTTGCCGGGCGGACGAGCAGCATGATGAGGAGTATTATGATCAAGGACGAGGCTATCGCAACGGAAGGCGAGCATGTAAAAGACGTGGTAATGGAGAAGAATGTGATCGAGATCGGCAGCGAGGTTTTCGAGACTTTCAGCGACGCGATGCCCCGCGTTTCGGCAGAAGCGACTTTCGGCAGCGACCTCATTAAAGCAGAGGACGTGGCAAGACATGCTACAGTTCGAAAGGAGAAGGATATGGTCGGCGACGGCAAGGGTTCCATCGCGAATCAGATCGCGGAGATGAAGCACATGGTAGCTACGCGACTTTGCGGGCCATTCATGAACGCGGAGGACCAGGCGACCAAGCACCAGCGACAGGGGATGCATACGCATGCGGTATTCAGCAGATCAAGCAGCAGGATATTAATGCCAGGACCCTTCTCTCGGCGGGGGCTCGCCAGTTTGCGCCCGCCACGGCATCCGCTGAGACGGCGCCGGGGAAATTATCAGCATATGGTGATATCATTGGCAGTATATAAGGGCCCCCAACTGGGCGGAGGCAACCGCGGCACCCGCCTGGGTTAGGCCCAGTCGCTACTATGACAGGAACGGCCAGCTCGAGCTTCTTAGCGTCTTCGGGCTCGGCCTCAGCTAGTGCGACTACTCCACCTACCTCGGTATCAACAGGTTGCAGGTGTTTCTCTGTGGCAGTCGGGGCACGTGGCACATGCGGTCGCTCGTTTTGCATCTGTCATGGTTTCAAGGGGCACTTCAATGTGATGGGTTTGTTTTGCTTGGATGTTTCAGCAGCTCGTCAGCAACGGCATCATCAGCAGCAGGAGGGACAGTCTCCTGGGGCGCCCTCTCTGCGTCAGACGACGCCGAGTTCTGATGTTGCGACGACAAACTGCATGAGGATTCCACGACCAGACGATTCGCAGAGTCACGAAGAACCCTAGGAGGTCTAGCAGTGATTAGCGGAGTTTGCGATATCGGCCTCATCGTGGACCCTGGGGCAGCTCGAGGTCTCATCGGAAGTGAGACTCTTCGTGGGATCTTTGAGATGCTCCTGCGACCCCGAGGATTGATGAAGCATGTGATGTGGCTTCGTTCGAATAATGAGTTTACTAGCATTTCTTCTCAGCCCCAGCACAGCGTCGGCATTTGTGCGTTTCCGAGTGGCTTGGTTGGAATGAAGAATGCTGATTTCTCTTGCGACGTCACCGCGGGTCAGTCAGCAAACTGCCATGGATTCATTCCACTACAGACGCTACTACGACATGGCAGAGTGGTTTCATGCAGACATTTTCATAATAATGATGGGCTTTTGGGATTGAGACTCAGCAGTGGCGAGATATGTTCACAGATGACTCTGACCGACTCATCCCGCTACCTACTTCCGGTTGACAATTTCGACAATGAGGAGAACGACGCGTGGAACAATACAACCTCTCAGCACCAGCAGGATATCGACGAGGGGGCAGGACATCAAGGACAGCATCAGCATGGCATTGCCCTCGTATCCAATATGTAGGGCGATGATCGAGCACCGCGCGAGGATTTCAGAGCTCATTTTCACTGAGTAAATAAACTGTTCGCTCCAGACACCCTCTCTTCATTTTCATCTACTACGCGTAGATTTTACCGAGATTGGCAAGCTCTTTCCTCAAAGGAATCCTTCTCGCTGTGGAATGGCGAACCACTCTTTCCCACGCGTCTACTTCCCGAGGACTCATCAGTTGCGAGGGCTGAGTT